TCTCCTTGTTGATCTATGTACCAAAAACCCTCACATCCCTTGGCTGTTCTTGACCGAACACGAGTCTGTGGGGTCTTCTCTCAAGAGAAGCCTCAGCCGTAGAGGAAAGGGTAAGGACTCGAAGGCTCATAAATACGCGATCAACTCCCTTTTGACCCTGTTGGACCGCGAGCTTGTAACGGAAAGCTCGCTTGTCATGACACACCTCGCAGACCTGCTGAACCGAGTTACTCTTCCTCTTCAAAACTTGGAACGTCGACGCAAGGAGACACAAGATGAAGATGCATCGGCTCCAAAGACAAACGAAGCGGAATCCACGGCCGTTATCACGGATGCGAATGAGGCAGAGCAACAAACTAGCAACGGCCAGACAGCAGATGGTGAGGCAGCCTCCGCGCCCGCGGGATCTTCCGAGCAACAGAAGGCCGGGGCGGAGGACTCAAAAGAGCAATCGAAGAACACGTCACAGAAACGTGCCCGTCAGCTGCAGCCCCCGGTCATTCCACCTCAAAACCTCACCCTCGTGGTTAGAGTATTTGTTGCTAGGGAATGTAGTTCGAAGACGTTCCAGAACACCATCTCTACCATCAAAAACTTGTCAGCGATACCTGGAGCGAAGACGGTCTTTGGCCAAGAGTTGGTCAGCCAAGCTCGCTTGTTGAGTAGCAACATTGTGTCTGATCTAGACGATCTGCTTCCTCATATTGACGCGGCTACGTCTGGTACTGAAATTCAAGGAGTTGCCCTCGCCAAGTTCTCACCTGGAGCTTCAGAGCAGAACAAACTCCTCAGAGTTCTCACCGCACTGGACCATCTATTCGATGGCAAGAAGAAGACGGACGACGTTGAGGAGGGTGGGCCCAGCGAGACCGAGAAGCAAGATCTTGTCACCTCGCTCTACCACAATTCAACGTTCTCTACTATGTGGGAGAAGCTGAGTGCTTGTCTTAGTGCCATTCGACAACGGGAAAACATGCTCAATGTCGCGACAATCCTACTTCCACTGATCGAATCTCTGATGGTGGTCTGCAAAAACACGACGACAAATGACGATCTCTCACACAGCCAGATTGTGAAGGACATGCTGCTGTCTAGCCCACAGCCAGAATCTCGTACGGCGAACCTCTTCTTTACCTTTACAGAAGATCACCGCCGTATCCTGAATGAGCTCGTGCGACACAATCCAAAGCTCATGTCTGGCACTTTTGCTCTACTTGTTAAGAACCCCAAGGTTTTGGAGTTTGACAACAAGCGCAATTATTTCAACAGAAGTGTTCACTCGCGGAGCGGCCAGAACCAGAGCCGACCATCATACCCGCCGTTGCAGATTTCTGTTCGCCGAGAGCACGTATTCCATGACTCATTCAAATGGCTTTGCTTCAAGTCAGGCGATGAGATGAAATATGGCAAGCTCAATATAAGGTTCAATGGCGAAGAGGGTGTAGATGCTGGCGGTGTAACACGCGAGTGGTTCCAGGTTCTCGCCCGGCAAATGTTCGATCCCAACTATGCTCTATTTATCCCGGTCTCGTCTGATCGCACAACCTTCCATCCGAACAAACTGAGCGGCATCAATGATGAGCACTTGAGGTTCTTCAGCTTTATCGGCCGCATCATCGGCAAAGCCTTATATGAAGGTCGCCTCCTTGACTGTTTCTTCAGCCGTGCTGTTTACAAGCGCATCCTTGGAAAATCCGTCTCTGTCAAGGATATGGAATCATTTGACCCAGACTATTACAAATCTCTTTGCTGGATGCTGGAAAACGACATCACCGACATCATTACGGAGACCTTTTCTGTTGAAGATGATGAGTTCGGTGTCACCAAGATTGTTGACCTTGTCCCTAACGGCAGAGAGATTGCAGTAACTGAAGAAAACAAGCACGAGTATGTGCGTGTTGTGGTCGAGCATAAACTCCTATCCTCGGTAAAGGATCAAATGGAGAACTTCTTGAGTGGTAAGTTATCATTTTGTAACCATGACTGAACTGTTGAAAGCAATGTCTAATTTCTTTCTAATTAGGTTTCCATGACATCATTCCTGCAGAGCTAATCTCAATCTTCAACGAGCAAGAACTGGAGCTTTTGATCTCTGGCCTTCCCGACATTGACATTGACGACTGGAAAGCCAATACTGAGTACCACAACTACAGCCCTTCCTCTCCACAGATCCAATGGTTCTGGAGAGCAGTCAGATCATTCGACAAAGAGGAACTAGCCAAGTTGTTGCAGTTTGTCACCGGTACCAGCAAAGTTCCTCTCAATGGATTCAAGGAACTCGAAGGCATGAACGGAGTCAATCGCTTCAACATCCACCGCGATTATGGAAACAAGGATCGCCTTCCATCAACCCACACCTGCTTTAACCGTATGTTTATAATTCCCCTCCTGTTACCCGCCCCTCAAATTTGAAGATTTCTGTACTAACATACCCCGACAGAGCTCGATCTCCCTGAGTATGACAGCTACGACATACTTCGCTCACAAATCATCAAGGCAATCACACAAGGCAGCGATTATTTCGGCTTCGCCTAATGGTGATACTGGGGACGGTGTGATTTTACAGAATGGTAACCGACATATATGGCACTGACACTTGGGTGGCCGAGAGAAATATCCTTGGCACTTTATGACTATTTGTAATGCATAGCTCTTCCAGAACTCATGGTGGAGATTTGAAATAACAAAAAAGACAAAAAAAGGGGGGGAGGGGAGGAACAAGGCTCCTTACTCGGAATTCTCACCTTGCTAGGAGAAGTGCAGATCTCTCTGGCATTGACGAGATATTTCGAAATGGGCTGGATGGCATGGAAAGCAAGGTTTATGTTTGGTAGGGGTGGTTAAAAAAGACATTGCTTTCACGTAGATTAGCAGGACTACCTAGGCTTAGAATTGGGCAAATACAATAGGCTCTTCATGAAAATATCACTTAACGATCTCGAACGTACGATGGCCCCAATTTCGGTCAGTGAGATGTATATCTCGTAATAAATTGATGCCTTATTACATAGTCAAGATGCACGATCCAATGTATGCCTACGTATGGACTCGAACGTTTGGGCAAACTACGAACCCCCGATTAAAGATGGAGCAAAAAAAAATACGGATATTGTCAAGAAATGGCGTCATGAATGCATTTGGAAATATTTGGATATGTTTCTAATACATTCATAACAGGTGGGCCCAAAATTAAGCCCGAGAGATCCTCACTCCCAATGCATGCAAACCACAGGACCAAGGTATGATGATTCCCCTTTTTTTCTCTTTCATTATAACAAAACGCCGAACCCTTATTTGTGCATGGAGCTTGCTCGTCGCTTGCGGGCATCGGCCTTGTGGGCCTTGGCCTCGGCGACACGCTTGGCAAGGACCTGGGCGTACTCGTTCTGTTTTGTAAATTGTTAGCATTGTAAATTGCGGCGGAGAGCTTTTTGCAAGGGGAATACGCACGGCCTCGTCCTTGACCTTCTCGGCCTGGCGGCGCTTGAGAGCGAGACGGTGGCGCTTGTGCTGCAGGCGCTGGGGGGTGACCAGTCTCTGGATCTTGGGAGCCTTGGTGTAAGGCTTCTTGCCCTCGCCCTTGGGCTGGACCTCTCGTCGGATGACGTACTTGCGGACCTATTATTTTGCCAATGGTGATTAGTTCCATTGAATTCTTATACTTTTGTTTTCTTTAACCTCGGCACCGGGCCAACCCTTTCCTCGCCTTTGAAAGGTCGAGAATAAGAGTTCGCCCAGTAGTCTTCTCACACTCTACCCGGACTGCCATTCCCTCCACCGCAGCTCCTGGTAGGCGATGACCGAGTATGGGTACAGGGTGAAACATACATCGTCATCCTTGGTGAGGTTGAAGAACTTGCGGATCTTGGTGGCGCGCTTGGGTCCGAGGCGCTTGGGCTGGACGACGTCGGTCAGGCCGGGGATGTCGGCATCACCCTGCTTGACGATGGAGAGGGCGAGGACGGACAGGTCCATGGCGACGATGCAGCCGCGGACGGACTTTCGCTTGCGCTCACCGGTTCGGCGGGGGCGGTAGCAGGAGTGGCCGTCGGCGAGCAGGAGGCGGACACGGCTGGGGTGCATGACACCCTGCTTCATGGGGAAACCCTGCTTGTCGTTTCCACCAGTGATGCGGAAGATGTAACCCTTGAACTCGTCGCCGACAGAGTCGCCGGGGACCTCAGCGCCCATCTATATTGTCAAAAAAGACATGTTAATTCTCGAATTCTTTCTGCGTTGGAGGGGTTGGCGGCACGTAGCCTCGGAAGATGTGAGGACGGTAGAAAAAGGTTTTTCGATATCGAGTATGGTGTTCTTCTCGTCGATAACCAAAATCCCGTCCTGCTCTCGTTCCGTATTGGGGGAAAGACGTACGCGCTTCTCCATGAAGACGGCGAGCTTACGCTCATCCTCAATGTCGATGAGCTTCTGGCTGCCATTGGCAGGGTAAGAGATGTTCAACTATCGAAGAGAAAAAAAAAATCATGTTAGCGACGACGTTGGAGTTGACACGGCGGTGGAACGACAAAAGCGCAGATGATGAAGTGCTTGCAGCATCTGGCCATGTCGGTCGAGAACAAATTCGTTCCGCATTGGGAGGAGCATGAGTATGGTATCGTACCTTCATCTTGCCAGTGTTGTGGTGGTGCAAGTTTGGCTTGACCTGGCTCGCGTGAAGTCGGCTTTGGTGTTGAAGGAATAGGTAGGGCAAAAGAGCGAAATTGGGGCAGAAGAAAAAAACGAGAAATTGTTGTGTGCATTCGCCTAGGGCTCCATTTTGGCGTGTGGGAAGTTAGCCTGGCCAATCAGAGACTTTTTTGTTCATTGGTGGGGTCTTTGCCTGTGGATGGTTAGAGCGATCTCTTAGATCCAGCTTTGGTGAAAGTGTGGCTAGGGCGACTTCACCAGCCTCTTTGTCCTGGAGCTGTAAATGCGGCGTCGATCCACTTTCTGCCTGTGAGAACGTGTGGGGCAGGATTCTCAGCGTCTAACATCTTAAGCTTGTCTTGAGATCGATCTTGCTTGATGAGATTTGTCCAATCATCTTCTCATTCGCATATCATTATATTCGCCGTATCAGCATCTCTTTTTTATTATTTCATTTAATTCAAATCAATTTTCACAGCCATTAATCCAGCCATGTCTTCCTCCACCGCCAAACTATATCCTCCATCCAAGCAAGCTTCCACAACCACAACCAACCCACTCCCAACCCTCCTCCAAACACCCTCCGGCCTCGCAATTCTCGAGCTACAAGGAAGTATAAATCTTCCCCAAGACACCGAAGGCGAGACTCTCAAAGACGTGGAATTCGGAAGACTCGAGTTCCCAGAATATTCACCAGACGCCATCGGGACGGCTTGGATGAAGCGAGTCCACATGTACATTGGCCAGCACCAGCGGCTAACGGGCGAAGTGAAGAAGCTCCCCAAGGCGCTTGCCGTGGTGAGGAAACGGCAGAATAGGATGCTAGAGAGCTCTTCTGGGCCGTATATGGAGGAGGGCGATAATCTAGAGGTGGTTGATATCGTCAAATACAAGCTCATGTTTGCGAATCGACCAGAACCCGTTGGAACGGCTCATGCCCCCGCTTCATGATGGATAGAGAAGAAAATCTCCTCTCCGTTCATCTTTCTACATTGTATATAATTCAGTGCGTTAACACAACAACGAGACCTTTATGAAGAAGCCATAATGAGATATGAATGCAATTGTTATGGATTCAGGTTACTCATGTCCCTGGAGAGCTATGGCATTATCATCATCATTTCCATATACAGGAATACTAAAACATATCTCTTCTACTAGCAGGAGATCATGTCTATCATTACATATTTACTCTATGTCATGACCTAGATGCGTGGCTAAATCGCTCTACTAAATGGTATTCATGCCGCAACACCCTCCAGCGGCTTCGTCCTCCCCAGCCCATCTCGTCCATAGTAATCCATAGGGTAGATGCCATCACCACCATCCTCCTTACCCCAGCCCCCTCTCTTCCCCAGCGCCACAAGTGCCTCGTAAGGAGTTAGAAGCGGCCTGGGGAAAGCGTATCCCCAGTCGATACTCAACCGCGGGCATGCAACCTGCACCCAGCACTCGACATCGCTCATCATGGCAAGCTTGCCGGGGAAGATTTCGCTCAGGAGGAGATCTATCTTGGGGATGCCCCGCTCGGCCAGCTCCCGCTCGATAAGGGCCAGCGTATGCGGGTTCCCCTGGCGCCCGAGCGATCCCAGAATGAGGCCCCAGCGACGGGCTTTGCGGGCAGTCTGGATGGCGGAACGGCGCACTGACTGCATCTCATCGTGGCCGTACGTCTCTCGCGTCAACTTGCGCGAGTATGGGTCGTACCGGTAAGCAGGAATAGCCGGGTTGTGAATCATGATACTCTCAAGATGGAAGCGCCCGTCACCGAGATAGAGAATCAGGTCAATGCCATCCTCATCCCGCAGACGAGGCGATGTGCAGCCTAGGATCTCACCCTTGCTGAGTGGTCCGATCTGAGGCACGACGACGCCGAAACCAGCCGCTTCGAGGCTGCTCCGTATGCCGTGGATGGTGGCGTTGAATTGAATAGTGCCGACAATCGCAATAGTCTTGCCACTGGCAAAGTTTCTCTCCAGCGAGGCAATCAGATGCGCCGTATCGATGCTAATATCGACAAAGACGTACAGCGTCTTGATCTTGGTCACGTCCACGGGGATCAAACAACTATGCGCATAATGCACCAGCAAATCGCAACCCAGCGCTCGCGCAGTATAGTCGTCGATGCAGCACGCGCCGTACGTCACATCGCCCATAATGAGCGTCTCGACGCCCGGGCAGAACTGCGTCACAATGTCCGAAATGGTCGTCGCAAACAAGAGCAGGCCTTCGGGCATCTGCAGCGCTACTTTGCGCGCCCCGGACTCTCGGATTCGGTGTATTGTCTTTGGTATTTCGAAGTTGTAGTTGGCTGGCAGCAGCGCTATGGCTTCCTTGAGGCTGGGGTCTTCTAATATTTCCTTGGGGACTCTGTTTAGAAGTCGCGGAGCTCGTCGAGGTTTGGCCGCTAAAAGTCAGGATGATGTTAGAGAGCCGACGAAGCGTTTAAGTACTGAACAGTCGCCACATACCTTGAACAGCACCGCTACCTCCCTCCTCTGTTGATCCCTTTGCTGCCGCCGCCTCGTCCGCTGCTCTCCGTCCTACAAAGCGCCTCTTTGGTTGTCTTAATGCCGGTGTCTCATCTTTTGTAGTGTCGTTATCTGCTCCGTGAACTTCTAGTCGCGCTTCCTCTATATCCGCTGCCGCGCCGAGATCGACGAGCGCCCGGTCGTCTTCCATTTCTGATCTTTTGCAGTCGTCCTTCTTCCTACTACTTTTTTTTTCTTTCTTTCCCCGTTGCCCCTCGCTGCCCCTCGTTTGCAACTTGCTTTTCGCTTCTCGTCCGAGGCAAATTTGGCGATTTCGATTTCGTATGCGAGATAATGTGTCAACTGGTGGGTCTGGTAAATCGAATATCAAGCAATATGCAATTTGAAAATATGTCAAGATTGGCTGTAGTTGTAACTGACAAAAGCTTTTACACTGGAAATGGCACATTCAAGGTGGGGTGATGGATGGATCTCAAGCGGCCCCACAACGGACTTGTCTTCTGTTGTCAATGCTTTACTTCGCTTCACTTACACCCAGTGCAATACATGATGTGAAAATACACTGATGAAACCTCATAGATATTATTCCTACGTTCTGATTCCTTCTCTTTCATACAAACACCATTACTACTGTACCAGCAAAAATAGCTCTCCTACGAACTCTTCTTCTTGCCATCAATACTGAATCTGTAGCTCGCCTGAACCACATACGGGCCATCGTCCGGTCCCCAGATCTGCTTCCTCCCCCATTCCGGGTTGTTAATGCCGTCAATCCAGTCCTCCACCTCCATCACCAGACATCCGTACTTTGGAATCGTTCTCGGGAATTTCTTGTTGTTGTGCAGACCCTGCGTCTTCTTCAACGTCAGCGTGCCGTTTTGCCCGTTGCAGCTGTACACCTGGAAGGCCGTCTGGTCCGAATAGACGTCCAGGTGGATGCCGGACCAAGGTGAGGATAAGCTAGCGACAGGGCCTTCAGTACGCCAGTCAAAGGGGCCCAGAGCATCCCGGTTGACGAGGTAGCAGGTATCTAATGTCTCTATTAGCTCATTGCATCATCCCATTTCCCTCCTCCCTTGATCAAATGGAGGACGACGTCAGGAATCCTTACCAAAGCCAGTGCAATTGTTACCGCAATTCTCCTTGATGCCACTCTGCTGGAAGCCCTTGCCAAGCTGCTTCGGCTGCGACCAAAAGTCATTCGCCGTGTTCTTCTTGTTCGCCAAAATGTCGCCCGTCGGGATCAAGAAGCCATCGACATCGACGCGCTGTCCACTATACGGAAGATGCAGCGTATGATTCAGCGCCGTCTGCGTTTCGTTATTGGCATACCCATCCAGGTTCCAGTACGTGTGGCTGCTAAGCATGATGGGCGTCTTCTTGGTCGTCGCCAGCGCCACCATCTTAAAGTCCCACTGGTTCTCCTGCACCGTGTACGTGATGTGCGACACGACCTCGCCAGGAAAACCCTCCTTTCCGTCCGGATCGACTATGCTAAAGGTTATGCTCGTCGCGGTATGCGCCGACACGGTGAAGTTGCGCCAGTCCCAGCCGTCGGGGCCCCCGTGAAGGGTATCTGATCCGCTGGGCGCGGCCTTTGTGGGATTCTCATTCGGCGGCGTGTGGTATGTCTTGCCGTCGATGACAAAGGTGCTGTTCTTGATGCGGTTCGCGTACCGGCCCGGCACGCCGCCAAAGTGCGGATGCTGCTTGTCAATGCCGTAGTAGGTGGCATTGTCGAAGCCGCCCACGAGATCGCGCTGGATGCCGTAGCGATCGTTGATGAACAAGTTCGAGATGGACGCTCCATACGGTATGAAAGACGCCTCGATGCCCTTTGCGCGAATCCAATACTTGCCGTCCTTGTCTGGGCCGCTTCCACTCGACGCGGCGCTGGCTGTAAGTGGAAGGGCAGCAGCCGCAGCCAAAACGGCCAAAGAGTTGCCCGTCAGCTTCATGATGGAGCAATTCTTCTCCAGAAGAGATCAAAGACAATCAGAAGTACTGTAGTGGCGCAGCCTGTGAAAAACAAACTCAGCCCCTGTGGAAAACTAAACAAAGGGAGATGGCCAAGACATTCGCAGATCGGGAGGGCCCAAGACACATACCCATCCATGCATTAAGTACTCCAGAGCCCATGAGTGACACAGCACGACTCTCGCGCCCCAATGCTACTCTAACCTTGCACACAGTATGCAGCATCTCGTGTCTTCGGCTTCTTTGTCCATCCACATGACGCAGAAACCAAAGTCCCGGCCAACATATCACTGTCCACAACAGGCAACCAACCACGATGATCCCAGGGGGCTGGAAAGGCAATGAGAGGGGTAAGGTTGTCTTTCCCCGGATTTACCACGAGGAGAAAAAAGGACTAGCTAAGCGACTGAAGGCACAAGTTCCGAGAGAGCGAGGAGAGAACAGGGGGAAGTGAGCGAAGGATTGATTTCGCTTCTCCGGGGTTGGAGCGGTTGATCAATGCATACGAGCATGATGTCACCTGTTGATGATGTATGGTGTAGGAATCCCGATACAAACAACTGGGGATAGCATAACAATCCCCAGGATTTATGTGACGAAGCTCTAGTTTTTTTTTCTTCTTCCCTCTTATTGATGCCATTTGATTTTCAATGACATCCTATGTACTCCGTAGATCACGACAAGTTAAACTGAGAATCAACTCCCATAGCATGCCGCCTCTCCCAAAACATCACTCCAGCTCTTCACACACCAACATACCCAATGTAACCTCAAACGCGGGGCAAAAGCACACCAACAGATCAGATACAACTCCAACCTCGATCTTCATTCCTCCCAATTAACAACCAAACTACATGAATTAACACCTACTAACTAACATTTACCCCCAAACAACCTCATAGGTGCGCCAAAAGTGCTCTCATCGGAACCAACTAACACAAGCTTGTCCTGTAACTCTCAAACCCTCCATGTCTAATACGCTATTATACGCCAAAGTAAGCGCTCCAATGGCTATAAGCCAAAATCTATGAACCGCTTGACTAAACGGGAACCACGGCCTTTCCCCCTAGCTCAGCTGCTTACAGGCACATTTGCATTTCAACGGCTTGAACGGCTATTTCCGCACCACTCAGATCGCAATACGCTGTGCTTTTTATTACCCAAAGGACCAAGTACATCATATCCGGGATTGATGAGCGGTGAAATCCCTACCCTGCATCAGTCTACCTAATTCACGTTGCATTGCATCATGGTCGGCCAGATCCTACTGTACGCGAAACTAAACCCGCACACGGTAGACATGCTTGTTCACAGCTCTTTTGGAAATCGACTTGACATTTGCTCTGCTGCCTATATTCACGCTACAACCCTCTCCATTATCGTGTCAGATTGCTGTCTCTCCCAGCGCAAGTCGGAAATGCCAAACAACGAAAGAAAACTAGAGAATAACAAGTTCCGCACCCAGGATTTATGCACCTCACTTTCTACCACGGGTAATATCATACTTCCAAGCCAAGCAACTAATTTATACTTCACTTCTGCTCCTCCCCCGAAAGAAAAACACCAGACGTCGCCGAGGAGGGCTCCTATGCGTCAATCAGGTTCTCCTCAGCCTGCTGCCTGTCGTTTGAGGCAACCTCGGCTCGCGCCTTGCCCTTTGCCTTGGCGTCCTTTTGAGATCGCTGGTAGAACTCATTGAGGATCTTGGCAGGGATACGGTTGAGCAAGTCCTTGGGGTAGATACGGAGCAGGCTCCAGGCCAGATCCAGGGACTCGTAGATCGATCGGGACTCGTACGCGCCTTGGCTGATGAACTGGCGCTCAAACTTGTCCAGGAACTCAAGCGACAGCTTGTCCTCGGATGACAGAGCCTCCTCACCAACGACAGCCTTCATGGCGGCGGCATCACGGCCAATGGCGTACTTGGCATACAGCTGGTTGGACACATCACCGTGGTCCTTGCGCGTCATACCCTCACCAATAGCAGACTTCATCAAACGTGACAGCGAAGGCAGCACGTTGATGGGCGGGTAGATACCACGGTTGTACAGAGGACGGTCGACAAAGATCTGTCCTTCGGTAATGTATCCTGTCAAATCGGGGATGGGGTGAGTAATATCGTCGTTGGGCATGGTCAAGATGGGGATCTGGGTGATGGAGCCGTTTCGTCCAGTCACACGGCCAGCTCGTTCGTAAATGGTCGACAAATCCGTGTACATGTAACCGGGGAAACCACGACGACCGGGAACTTCTTCTCGAGCTGCGGAAACCTCACGAAGAGCATCGCAGTAGGCCGACAAATCAGTCAAGATGACCAAGACGTGCTTCTCGAGCTGGTAGGCGTAGTACTCGGCTGTCGTAAGGGCAAGACGAGGAGTAATAATACGCTCGATACTGTTTGCATTGTGTCAGCCAACAGCCCTCGTTAGGGGAAAGAGAAGAGCACTTACGTAGGATCGTTAGCAAGGTTGAGGAACAGAGTAGTACGCTCCAGACTGCCGTTCTCTTCGAAATCACGGGTAAAGAATCGAGCAGTCTCCATGTTGACACCCATGGCACCGAACACGATGGAGAAGTTCTCCTCGTGGCCGTCATGAACACCCTTGTTGGTGATTCCCTGCTGCTTGACCAAGCCAGCCTGTCGGCAAATCTGAGCAGCAATCTCGTTGTGAGGCAGACCAGAGGCTGAGAAAATGGGAATCTTTTGTCCTCGAGCGATCGAGTTCATCGTATCGATGGCCGAAATACCAGTCGCGATCATTTCTTCGGGGTATTCCTAAGACACGTTAGGCCATGTTGCTCGACCTACCAGGCATGCATCGGAAAGTGGTAACTTACTCGAGAGAAGGGGTTAATGGGACTGCCGTTGATATCGAGGTACTCTTCTGGCAGCACCTTAGGACCCTTGTCGATGGCTCGTCCAGATCCATCAAAGATACGGCCAAGCATGTCCTCCGAGACACCGAGCTTAAGGTTCTGACCGGTAAACTTGACACGAGTCTGGATGTTGCACTTCCTGTTAGTCACAAGCCCTCTAGCGATTGGCGATCGGGCTCACTTGCCTTCTTCACATCGATACCGGGAGTACCCTCAAAGACCTGGACGACAGCTCGGTCACCTACCCCCTCTCATGTCAGAACAAACATTCCACGCAGGCATTGGCGGCGCCATGCTCATATATAGGTATATTATAGAAAAGGAATCATCACCCACCTCGGGCTTCCAGAACTTGTCCGTTTCTCTCCGTTCCGTCGGGCAGCGTAAGCGTAACGATCTCATTGTATCGCGGGAATTTGACCTATACCGCAACCAGTCGCCGTCAGCATTGTACACAACCAATCCCCATTCCATTTCACGCCATTCCAGCTGAGATGAAAAAGAAACAAGAGAGCGGAGAGAGAACGGAGATGCCATACATTCTCGACAATAACCAGAGGACCATTGACACCGCTCACGGTGTTGTACTGCAGTTGCGGCACAACTGAGTAGGATGACGAATTGCGTGGGTCCGCCATTGCTGCGAATCTATCTTGTGTTTCTGGTGTTTCCGCCTGCGTGCAGCTGGAAGCTTCCCCTCTGAAGCTCTATCTCTCCAAACCTTGGCCGGCTTTCGATTTTATGCGGTCACGGCGCAGCAACCTCAAGTAGCCACGAATTACCGTCGGGGGGCAAGTTGAAAGTGGAGGAGCGTATTGTCCGAGAAGGACAACGGATGTAAGCGAGCCAAATGGTACAAAGGAGTTTAAAAAGAGGTCGGTTATTCGAGCAGCGAAAAAGAACCACCGAGCTCGATATCGGGATGCGTCGTCGCAAAAGGGTAGCTGGCGAAGATGGGAGGAAAGATCAAGGTCGGAGACAGAACAAGAGAAGGCTGGAAGCGAAACAGCTCGACCAAGAAGTGGAGACAAGAGAGACCGCCGCCTTTCAATCAAAATGGCCTTGGCGGTTTCTTGTTCCAGTGAGCGCTCGTTAGTGGGTTTAGCGGGTTGCTTTGGGGGGCGCTGAGGCCTCTGCGCTCGCTGCGCAAAAAAATAGACCCCACGCCGAGCGCCTTTTGGCTGGCTGGACCTGGAGTCATGATTTGGACAGCGAAGAAGAGCGGCCGTGACATCACATGACTGCTAGTGGCAGGTGCTTGGAATTGCGTCCCAGTAACCTTATCTTGGCGACGGTGCGTTTTACAAGAATCAATCCTGTACTGCTATATGATGTTGAAATTATTTACTCTCCATACGTGGACTCAGCCATTGAGTACAGAGAATCCCGTTGGAGACAGAGATGCAGTATGAACACAGTACTGAGTACCTCTCCTGAGGGGAGCAAAGCACCAGCGGTCCAAGCTGCATAGAGGTAGAAGCTACCCCTCCAAACTGCATCGGCATCAGTTCAGTGACAGACGGGGGAAGCTCGGTGATCCCCTACAAAGAACGATGACTGCACCCTTGTCTATAAGCACAGCGGCGGAACCAATTGAGTTATTATTGTTTTAAATAGAATAGAGGTTCAATTGATCTAACGGAGCTGGTTTAATCAACACGTATAATAGATAATCACTACAGAATTCAATGCTTCCATAGAGTTGGTGGTACTTCTAACCAAAAGTCAAGCTGTAAGCGTAAATCATACAACCCTATTAAGCATAAAACATGATAGATATGTAGATGGATAGATTGGTATATATTTACTTGGCAAGATCAAAGCATCCTCACATCTTTGTCCTCTACGCCTTTTCAGCAGCCGCAGCTCCCTTTCTCGACCTCGCTCCCAGCACCGCCTTTCCTACCGAGCTATCATTCGGCTTGCCAATCTCCTGCGTAATCCAAGCTCCAATATCCGCCATGTCATCCAAATCAACACCCGTCTCCATGCCCAAACTCTCCATAAAGTAAACCATGTTCTCCGTCGCCACGTTACCCGTCGCTCCAGGGCTGTAAGGGCAGCCACCCAGTCCGCCCACGCTGCTGTCGAATGTTCGGATTCCATGCTCTAGTGACACAGCCGTGTTGACTAGCGCCTGTCCATACGTGTCGTGAAAGTGCATCGCAATGTCCTCCGTGCGGATACCTGCCGCACTCATGCATTTGAGCAGTGCGCTCGTCCGGGGAGCTGTACCCATGCCAGTGGTGTCGCCAAGCGAAATCTCGTCGGCTCCAGACTCCAGCAGGTCAGTGGCAATCTCAGCCACCTTGTGAGGATCAACATCGAAGCCCTCGAACGGACAGCCCAGCACCACTGAGATGTAGGCTCGAACACGGAGTCCCAGCGCCTTGGAGTCCTGAATGACAGCCTTGAATCGGTCTAGCGAAGTCTTGATGTCGCAGTTGAGGTTCTTCTGCGAGAAGCTCTCCGTAGCGGCAGCAAAGACGGCCACTTCCACCGCCGGCTTCTTAACATCGGGCTCTAGTAGTGTAGCAAATCTGCCGGGGTTCTGTTTCAATAGCGCTTCTGCACTTTGAAATCCCTTTCTATTCGGCGCGAGGAAGGAGTAGGTGATGGGAACGGGGGCCTCAATCTTCTGTTGTAGGATATGCTCCATGATCTCGCTCGAGTTGGCCATCTACATCGCCTCGAATCAGCCATCCTTCTCCCGAAAATAGACCTAGCAGCCAACAGCAAGTCTTCTCTTACCTGCGGCACCCATTTCGGCGCTACAAAGGAACCGGCTTCAATCGTCGTCAATCCCGTCTTGGCCAATCGCTCAATCAGCTCAATCTTGGTTGCCAGCGAAATGGCCTTTTTCTCGTTCTGCAGTCCGTCTCGTGGGCCGACTTCCACGATCCTGACTCGGCTGTCGGATGACGTCGGAGGGCGGCTGGCCGTTGCAAAGCCTCTGTGCACCCTCAGCGGTGAAGAGCGCCTGCAAGCCCGGCAGATGGACGATCGAAGTAGAGACATGGTGAGCGAGGGAATGGGATTTGGTTGAGAGGCACCGAGCCGACAACAGAAGGGGTGAGTGTTGTGTTGGAGTAGCAGCAGGTATGAAATTAATGGCAATTGGGGGACCAGCTGCACAGAGCGGCGAATGTCGCGTATTATCGGCCCGTGGCACCACGTCTGACGGCTATAGCAAGTCACGCTGGCCCGTTTGGCCCGGCGTCGTCCTCCGCATTCCTCGGCCTTAAAAAAGAGAGGATTACCTTCTCACAACTGTCGGGCCGCCGACTAGTCTAGCGTCAAGGTGGATAGATCGATCATTGTTATCATTGTTATTGTGGCTAACGATATGGAGTACGACTACTGACTGTACTTGAACTTGGAGATGGAGCAGCACATTTCAAGACAAGGCACCCCGGATTTAATACAACGCAGCGGCAATCGCAGGATTCCGCAAACTCGTAATTTACAGATTACATATCTTCTCTTGTACATACACCAATTGCTCAAATCAACCTTTATAGATAACAGCGTCTGTTGGCTTCTTCCCATTTACAGATTTGCTTTTTAACATTAAAAACTGAGGCTTGCGACCTAATAAAGAAAATACACCTCCTGTCCAAGAGGACGCAGGGGCGGGATTAGGTGGTACCGGTTTTCACAGTCCATACCCTCAATATCCATGACTCCAACAGCAAAGAAACAACTTAGTACTCAGCCTCCATCTCCTCGTTGTCGAGAGAGTCGGCAGCAACCTCCTCGTAATCGCGCTCCAGGGCAGCGAGATCCTCACGGGCCTCGGAGAATTCACCTTCCTCCATACCCTCACCAACGTACCAGTGAACGAAGGCACGCTTGGAGTGCATGAGATCGAACTTGAGAGAGAGGGAAGACCAGGCCTCGGCGATGGCGGTGGTGTTGGACAGCATGCAGCTATTTTGCGTGTTAGCTTGAGCTCATGCACGTACATTAATCAGGGGGAAATTGTGGTATGTATAAAACTTACACAGCACGGTTGACCTTGGCGAGGTCGCCGTTGGGAACGTTCTCGGGAGCCTGGTAGCAGATACCGAGCTTGAAACCAGTAGGGCACCAGTCGACGAACTGGATGGTGCGCTTGGTCTTGAGGGTAGCGACGGCGTTGTGGGCGTCGTTGGGGACAACGTCACCACGGTACAGCAAGCAGGTGGCCATGTACTTGCCGTTGCGGGGGTCACACTTGACCATCTGGTTGTTGGGCTCGAAGCAGGACATGGTCATCTCCTGGACGGAGTTGGCCTCGTGGGCAGCCTTGGCAGCAGAGATGACAGGAGCATAGGCGACCAGAGGGAAGTGGATACGAGGGTAGGGGACCAGGTTGGTCTGGAACTCGTTCAGATCAACGTTGAGGGAACCATCGAAACGCAGGGAGGCGGTGATGGAGGAAACAACTGCGTGGGCAAGCAATTAGCGTATGTAGACTTCACTGGACACAGATTCGACTGGCTACTTACCCTGAGCAATCAGGCGGTTAAGGTTCTCGTAGTTGGGGCGCTCAAGACCGAGGTTGCGACGGCAGATGTCGTAGATGGCCTCGTTGTCGACCATGAAGGAGCAGTCGGAGTGCTCCAGGGTGGTGTGGGTGGTCAGGATGGAGTTGTAGGGCTCAACGACGGAGGTGGCAGTCTGAGGAGCAGGGTAGACGCAGAACTCGAGCTTGCTCTTCTTGCCGTAGTCGACGGACAGACGCTCCATCAGGAGAGCACCGAAACCAGAACCGGTACCACCACCGAAGGAGTGGAAGACCAGGAAGCCCTGAAGACCAACGCAGTTGTCGGCAACACGTCGGATCTTGTCGAGAACGCCCTCAATCAGCTCCTTGCCGACGGTGTAGTGGCCACGGGCGTAGTTGTTGGAAGCATCCTCCTTGCCGGTGATCATCATCTCCGGGTGGAACAGGTTGCGGTAAGGACCGGTGCGGACCTCGTCGACGACATTGGGCTCCAAGTCGCAGTAGATGGCACGGGGAACGTACTTGCCCTGGCCTATTTGGAAGAGTTAGAGGTGACATATTCTCAACGACACCATATAAAAGGAGACGGGGAGAGATCAAAACATACCAGTCTCGGAGAAGAAGGTGCTGAACCCCTGATCGGGGTCCTGAGCCTTGCGCTCCTCAGTGAGGTAACCATCGGGCTGTATGGGAAGAAAAAAGACGTTGTTAGCTTCGCGTTTTGGAGTCGTGGGAGGGTTGTAAACAATGGGCTCAAGCCACATGTGCGGGAGTGGTGGTGGTGTACCTGGATACCGTGCTCGAGGCAGTAAAGCTAGAGAAGGGGCAAATGTCAGCTCGAATGGTCACGAAAAAAAAAACACATGCCAATGGCGAACCAACTAACCTCCCAGCAGGAATTGGCAATCTGGCAACCAGCCTGGCCGACTATCCTCCAAAAGTTAGCATCGTCAACTCGCGGTCTCGGGCGTCCATGATGCGGTGAAGGGACGCGTTTGTTTGGTGGGGAGAGGGGGCCCAAAGGTAAAGGGGCTTTCCCTCCGTCGAGCTAGCACGCACCGTTGATGCTAATAACCTCACGCATGGTGAACGCTTTTTTCTTTGTTTTCTGAAGGGTTGGAGAGGAAAAGTAGGAGTGGTGACTTCGAGGTAGCAAGAGTGCAAGATTGAGCCCGGGGAAAGAAGAAAAAAGGCTTTTATTACGGGGTTCCAGAGGGAAAAGGTGGTGAAAAGGACAGGAGGACGGACAAGTTGCAGCTGGTTCGTCGGGAGAGGGTCGAGAAGAGGTGGGGGGGAAATTTGGACTGGACAGGGGCTGCTCACAGCACAGCAAGAGGAAGAGGGGAGGTTTGTTGACTTTTTGGTTTGGGACGTGGACGGGGGGGTCCAGGCGTGGCTGGAAGTGGTAAGCGCGTCTGTAGAGCGCGCCCCTGTCGCCTCACCGCTCTGGGCGGGCAGCAATGATTACTGTATTGCCGAGATGAGAATCAATTTCAGTGACTGGAGGACCTGGGACTTGAGAGGACAGGTGCAATTAATTCATCATGGGCGATGGAGATGCAGTAGCAGTGTTGATGTTTTTGAACAATGAGATATAGCTGTGCTGTAGCTATGGTACCTAGATAAGCTAAGTTGAGGTTGTCAACAGTCCTCTCATTAGGGGGCACCACAGCTACCTGATGGACAGCAGCTCACAGAGACATGTACTGTACATCCATCCTTTTTCATACGGCAGAATAATGTGGTGCCCAAAAGGGGGGGCTTCGATAAAGCTACCAAGAACCGTGTACCCCGGACGGTGACACCAGGCTGTAATGATACCTGCACATAGGTACATGTACATTACTTTGAAGTCTGATGGGAGACTTGATGCCATGACCTAAATCCTCCATAGTACATACAAAGAAATCCTCAAGTTGTCATCAGTGCGAGCAGCGTCTTGTTCCAATTTCCCCGTCAATGTTTTCTCTTAGACTTGTCTGTCCTCCTACTGTACGCGCTCATTGGCCTTTGACGCCAGACAGGCGCCACTCTAGCCGCCTAACCTCGAGCTAAGCTGTCCGGTGCTTGTACCTGTACGGTCCGGAGTGCCTCCACCCCCTCAGAAGCTCTGAACAGGGTCCCGCGCTGGAGCGAGCACCGCTATCGCCTCAACTTAGATTACCAAGCAAATGACGGCAACAAATGCAACGCTCTACGGTACTCTCCGTCCCTACAGACGAAGGGAGAGACCAAAAGGCAAAAATCATAAGATGCTCGGCTAGCACCCATTCTCACCAATAAGGGGGATGTGGGATAGATAGAGAGACACAAAGTATTGATATACTCCGTAGTACCTGTACCAAGCACAGCTCTGGCTCCCACAAATCGCACCAGCCAGTCTCCATCTTATATAGGCCGCTCCATCCCCTTTCCCTTCTAGAGTCTAGCTACTTGAGCATCAGCGCTTCCCTCTCGCGATCATATCAACAACTACAGCGCTTTCATACAACGAGAGAGTGAGACAAGACCACAATATGTACCAATTGACCTAACAATCATCATCTCCCGGCTCCTCCCCCGACCGCCGCTTCCCCTAGCTCCCCCTTTTGCTTGTCCCCTTCTGCCATGCTCTGGATTAACCCAAAAGAAGACAGACCCTCACGACAGGGTCTCTCCCGAATCGATGGTTCGCCCAGACTTGCCAGCAAAGCTCTCCACTAAATGTGGTCAAGTGCCTTCTGCACTGCTGGCATCGTCACAGAGCGCGGCACGGGAAAGCTCCATAATGTCATCCAGTGCTCTTACCAGCTGCCTCCTACGGCCCGGCGATCATTGTGGTGTGTTATTACTCCGAGAGGGTACGAGTATTAACCAGCAGCAGCAACTCAGCTTTAGGTAGCGGCACTATGAGTAGTGTTCATTGCTGCTAATTCTCGTACCCGTATCCGTCATCGGCCGAGGATTTTCACCTCATGAGAGCCTGTCAATGACGGGATGTGACATGGATGGATTTCCAGAAGCGCATTAGAACGACAGAAACCTCAAGGATAACTGCGGATTAATATATTATGCTCATACCTGCGGCCCCAGGTTGCAATAATCGCTACCCCATACTTGACGAGGTTGCAGAAAAGGAGTAGAAAGCGGCTATTATTGCCCGTGCCAATACACATATGCATCTGCAAAGTAATGAATGCACAAGAGCCCATCACATACTATCCATGATAGACTCATGAAGTTCTAGCGCAAGAGTGATGATGATACCCACGATGGTTTTGTATCCATCCGTTCGTTGACCAAAAGTAAAGAAGTCAGAAAGTAACGGTACGTACCTCAAAGTACAGCCAGCCAATCACAAGCTCGCACAGCCAACACTGCTGTCCCAAATCTTAACAACGTGCTGCCTCGCGATCAACCACCAGCGAATCAATATCTCTTCACATTCACATCCATCTTCACCCTCTTCACCAAAATCGACGGCTTCAATCTCACACCAATTAATCACTCCTCTAAGCAATACAAACACAAAACCAAAACGGCACCAATTCAACAGCCAAACCCACGCAACAACACCAAAAAAACCATGCCACCAACCCACAACCCCCATCACCACTCCTCACCCATCTCACTCACCAGATCCCTCCTCCTCATCCCCTTCCTCTCCCTCATATCCCCCTCCCACGCCAACACCGAAAAGGCCATCTTCACCGCACCCCCGCCCACTTCTCTCTCCAGCCTCGACGCCGCCATCCATCAAGATCTCCCTGTTCTAGGCCCTTCCACAAGCTGGTCCATACGCACCAACCTCAGCCGCGTCTTCCCGCTCAATCAGCAAGACGAACAACAAGGCTACCCGTCATGGCTGCTGCTCGACAACCTCACGCCAGGACAACGCTATGAGCTTCGCGTCTGCTGGTCCGCACTTGTAAGCGTTTCCCCCTCCCAATGAAAAACCGTAGCTACACCCGTTCATCTTCCTCATTCTACATCATCGTCGTATCAAGCCTTCCAAATATCAAATTCATACAAAAAAAATAATATCAAGAATAAGAATGAAACTCACAAACCATCAAAAGGAACCAACGGCATTCACCCTAGACACATACCCCCTCACCACCGTCCTCTCAACCCCAGCACTCCTCCAATCCCTCACTCAACACGCCAAACCAACCCACCAGCACCAATCTCACCAAATCGAGGACCAACCCTTAAAAAACTCATCACCAAACAACGACGACGAAAACTCCGTCCTCCTCCTCCGCGTCCTCGCCGCAGCCGACTACTTCTCTCACCACTCCTCCCTCATGAAGGACCCTCCCCCAGTCCTCGTCGATTTAATCCTGGACCCCTACCTTTACAACGTGCTTCCGCAGTCACTAGTTCCGACCGTGTGCTATCTCGTTGTCGTCGGCGTCGTGTCATGGTTTGTAGCAAAATGGGTGGCCGGTTCACTAACTGCAATTGCCAGCTCTACCAAGAGTGACCAGACAAAGAAGCAAAATTAATAGTAATAGAACTCTAAAAAAAAGAGGAAAAAAGTAATAATTTGAAAAGCTCTACCTCCACAGTATTATAACGGGATATCACCTCCTCTCTCAACAGCCGCAAGTCCTTGACAGCGGCCCGTTAATGTTCTTGCTCTTGACGCATTCTTCATATCCATTTCATCACATCACAACATGCGTTCCGTCTCTCTCGTAAGGTAGTCTACATATGGAACAGAAAAAAAATGAATAAAAACCCAAATGTACCACCCTATCTACACTTATATCATCATAATTCTACCTCTCATGCCATACCGCGCGTTACTTTTTTTTTAAGATCCACCACCTCCCTAATGTCACCGCATTATTCGTACGTGAAATTATAGATCCGGCCCTTTCTTGGCGAGCAAATGATGCTAGTCAGTCGCGGTAAAATGGTCATCTTCTCAGGAACCCCGTATTCAATGAACAAACACACACAAGAATTCATGCATTCTTCTTCACCAAGAGAAAATATACGACGCAGCGCGGAAAGCCCTTTAGTAGCCACCGCCATATCCTCCTTGGCTTGGGTGGCTACCATGAGGCACAGGAGGAGGGCCTGGCTGGTAAGGCTGCTGACTATAGGTCTGGCCACCTGGGGTACCATACGATGGGTTGTAGCCGCCGGGTGGTCCGCCGCTTGGTGGAGGAGGATATTGCTGGTGCTGTCCAGGGGGTGGAGGGAACGATTGTTGATGTCCGGGAGGCGGGGGGTACTGCTGCTGTTGGCCTGGCGGAGGAGGGTATTGTGGATGACCACCCGGCGTCGTTGCACCGTAGTTTTGCTGGTGCTGTCCTCCCTGAGGAGCGCCATATCCAGGCTGCTGCTGGCCTCCAGGTGCGCCATAGCTCGGTTGATGTCCACTAGGGGAGGGAGCTCCGTAGCCTTGCTGGTGAGAAGGAGAGCCATAGCTTGGCTGCTGGGGGGTATAGCCGCCAGCCCCGTGCTGTGCGCCATGTTGTGCGCCATGCTGGTCGTGCGATCCGCCGTACGGGCTGGGAGCAGGCGCCGGGCTATGCGAGTAGGACTGGCTGCCATATGACTGATGCCCATAAGTTTGGCCACCAGGTGGTGCTCCTGAAGGGGGTGGAGGGAAGGAGTTTTGGTGATTGCCAGAGGGTGGGCTTTGGTGTGTGCCCGTATGTGACGACGATGGGGTTGCGCCGTGAGTAGATCCGGGAGGGTTGTAAGTGGGTGCTTGTCCAGAGTATGTATTACCGCCCGAGCCGGAATTCGAGTAGCCATAGCTCTGGTTCTATAGATAGTGACATGCCGTTAGTTAGCCTTCGCAATTATATAACCGCCAAGAAGTTGAAAAAGAACTGCGATGGTTGCTTACACCGTGACCTGGCTTCTCTCCTCCAAAAATGGAGGCCAAACCACCACCCACGACGCCGGCCAGACCACCCTGCTGATGCCCACCCTGCTGATGCTGGCCGCTGCCTGATGAGCCGCCGTGGTAGTTCTGCGACTGCGAAGGCTTTCCACCGCTGGAAGGCGAGAACAGGTTCGACGCCAGTTGTCCCACCAGCTTTCCCGCGATGGAATCCTTACCACCGCCGCTACCGCCTCCGCTGCTTCCATGCGAACCGCCTCCGAGGAACTGAGCAGCCAGACCGCCGAGGGGGTTTCCGCCGCCAGAGCCGCCGCTGCTGCCGTGGCCGCCAGAGCCCTTGCCACCCATGAGCATATTCATAGCCATTGACTAAAAACACCATTGAAACCAGACGTTAGCATATATCATCATATATCCACAAATCCCTCCGCAGAGCTGCCAACAGAGTCTCTGCTTACCCCAAGTCCTCGGTCACCATCAGGGCCGTCAGGACCCCTGCCATCTGGCATGATGGGCTCCATGCGTCCATCGGCATGTTTGATCGTCTGCGAGCCGTCCGGGTGTGTGATGACTTGCGGCGCCGGTGAGCCATAGGGGTGCTCGCTGCCTGGAACTGGCGTGCCCGTCTGAACGGGATCCGTGGGAATGTCCCATTGAGAGACGCCCGTGGCCAGCTGGACGTAGTAGTACTTTCTGCTGGAGCCGTCCCACTGAGCGATCCAGCCCGCTGGCAGGCTCGGGGGCGCAAATGTAGGCCCCTCAGTGCCTGGAGTCGAAGAACCCGCCATATTCTTGGTCGATGGGAGGAGAAGTTGTCTTTCTCTTTGCCTCTATTATATCGCGAACAAAAGTGGGCGGTTCGAGAGGAGGCCGTGCGGTCTGGAAGGCCGTTCGCGGGGGAGGGGGATGATCGATGCTAGGCTTGCGAGAAGCAAGGGCCCCCCTTGAAGGGAAAAGGGAAAAGAGAAGAAGAAAAGCAACAAAAAAGTAAAAAAGGTTGACGAGAGGAGAAGCGAAAAGAAGAGAAGGGGGCGGAGACTAAAAAAGAAAAAGAAGAGGAGAGAAGAGGGAGGGAGGGAAAAACGAGGGCCGGGCGAGTTTGCGATTGTCACCCAGGATTCTGCTAAGTCAGTAACCAAGGTCGGTCAAGGTGCTACTGCGACTCGTACCAGCGCATGTGCCCAAGTAACAGCAAAATCGATATGTGGGGTTAGTGAGCCTCTCTGGCCTCGCCTGGTTCTGGGCCGGGTTGGGGATAAATGGATCAAGTGGTATGGATGGATGGAATTTTTTTTAATTTCTTAATTTTTTTTTGGCTTTGGCTTTGTCCTTGTTCCTTTGTCCTTTGGGAGTGGCAAGTCTACCTGATACCCCAACTTTGGCTACAAGAGGTACCTACTGGTAGGTATCCAGCATCCCCGAATTGCCTCTATATCATGGCATATGGTTACTACTAATACAATCTTTGGTCTTGATGATACCTGTACTTTGCATTATACCAGACAGATGAGTGAGAGTGAGAGTGAGAGCCTAACACATCACATCACATCATCCCAGTCTTCGTAGTAATTCTGCCATCATCTCATCCAGTCCTAACCAGGGGTCTGGATGCTGATGACCGGGGCAATCGCCCTGTCCGCCTTTTGGGTTGATGCCAGGTCGCAACCTATCGACGAATGTGTACTCGTATCTACAGCAGCAACGATTACTCGTACATGTCCTGCAATGCTTGATAGGGCCAAGTTGGGTACCGGCAGATGCAACCACGGGGCAGGCCATCGATCCAAGTTGCTGCTGCTCCTTGGCTCCGGTAGTGTCTACTAGCACCCATACCGTCAAATGCCCCGGCGCGTAGGTACCCGGAACCTGCATCGCTACCTAATCCTCCAAATCCGTATTACACCTAACCCGATTGCCAGTGCCCAGCCCGAACACAAGGAGCCTTCCAGGAATCGTCATCCCTGCATCCCGTCGAATCATGTTTCCCTTCAGCGCTTCCAGCTCGACTCGTGTGGCGCAGCTGTGCACCTGGACCCTGACATGACTTTTTTTGCGCGTCGTTATCGTTTCTATTGCCTTCTGTGCTTTGTGTATCTTCTTTGTGTCGAATGTCTCCGGCCTTTGTGGTGGCTCACGTGCTCCGGCGAGGCCTAGCCACAGACTTTCGTTTCGCTTGCTTTTGGGCGGCCTCCGTTGAACGGGCTTCATCATCCGGCGTGGCTTTGCGGTTAATTCGCGGGTTGCCTCTTTGATGTCTTGGTTTCTGTCTGCTAAGCTTAGTCGGCTAACTAACCACTGCAGACTCCGATATCGATGCTAAACTGAGCACTCGGCCTGTGATACCCATAGCCATAACGACGGTTGACATGCATCATACAGTCACAACACTCGCTTCACGGACAAAGCATCAACCATTGTTATCAGGACGAAATTTGTGTCATTTTTCCTTTCACCCGAATCTCCATATCTAGTTGGTATCTTAATCCATCATATCTCATCCACTGTTCACTCCCTTGTTCAAGAGTCTTCCCCTAGACTCAATGCAACAATATAGCAAAGTGTGCCTTTGGTTGCCGGCAACCGCTTTGATGAAGAATAAAAACATGATCCTAAATCACCTAGCAAAAAAAGGTACAAGAAAGAAAATCCAATGCAAGTGCACATTTTAAGCCAGAGCGCGTTCACGCTGGAATCGCTCAGGGATGAAGCGTCGTCTCCGAACAAAGTCAGAACCGCCTCGCTTGTTCACCAAGGTGAGATTGTCGCTTGTTCCAGGCTGGCACGAAGTTCCCGGCGCCACGGGCATAGAGGCAGACCACATTCCAGAGGCACATCGCTGGAACGACTTTCCATCAGATGCGCAGCTCCACTGGCCCTCGCCGGAGCAAGCTGCTCCCGCGGTGACCGCGCCGTTGGACGGGCTGGAACCACCGCTGGCTGGTTTGGTTGGCTGAGGAGCGGCGGGAGCCGAAGCAGCGGCAGAAGTTGCAACTGCAGGGGGAGGAGAGGGCTTCGGCTGAGATGAAGTGACGGCCGGGGGCTTGCTCGTGAGGTTGACGGGACCAGTCGGCTTTGCTGTTGGCTGTCCTGCTGGCTGTCCCACGGGCGAGGTGATGAAAACACCGCCCGGAATCTTGGAAGCAGAAGGATACGTCTCCGCAGGCTGAGTAGCTTGAGACGGAGCAACAACTGGAGCAACCACTGGAGCTGGTGCAGGGGAAGCGATTCTGTGTTTCATCATGTTAGTCACAGCCATGGATCAATTGGGGGAGGAGAGTGTTCAACTTACGGTTGGCCTGCTGGAGGAGCAGCTGGAGGAGCAGCTGGAGGAGCAGCAGGAGGAGCAGCAGGAGCATCAGAAGCTTGGCCGCACTCGTCCTGTCCAGGAGGTGGTCCAGGAGGTACGGTGCCTAGGCTTTTGTAGTCGACATCTGGGCCTGGATTCGGGAGCTGGACATCCTTTCCCTCGTAGGTGCAGACGCCGTTGGCGACGTTGGCAACGAATATGTCAGGGCGACTGGAAAACGGGGTAGAAGCATCGCGTTTCTTGCCAGCGCCGATGGTGACAGCAGCGCAGTTCATGTACATCTCGCGGTTACCAACCCGGTTGAACCAAGTCCAGGCGAACAAGGCCTCACCAGCAGGGGCATCAGTGGGCACGGTGAATTGGTAGCTGGAATCGCCCTTAGCAGGCGGACATCCGCCTATGTACGACTTAATGACTTTGAAGGTCTGGCCCTTGTCGTATGAGAGTGACGCCTGGCAACTGCCCCCATTATGGTCGGCCTCGCCGGTAATGGTGAAGCTGTAGGAGCCACCAGGGGCCCAAGTGGCCGCAGACGCACCCAGAGGAGTGCCGAGAAGGTTGTGGTAGCCCTTGCAGGGGAAATCGATTCCATGCTTATCGAGAGGCGAGGTCATGGAGAAGTCCATGTCGTTGGCAGTGAGAGCGGTGTTGAACTTTGAGCGAAAGGGAAGAGGGCTTTTCATCTGCATGTGGCCGTTGACAACGGCCGCCAAGCCGAAGACGGCAGCGACGATTGTCTCGGTGAGCTTCATGATGAGTCGGTATTGGTTGAGACGTTGATCTGAGAGCGAGAAAGCAATGAAGGACGTTGGGTATAAAGCAAGAAAGAGAGAGACCTGTGGTGGCCCTCAAAAGCAGCGAATGATTGTTTTTTTTTTTTTCCTTTGAAGGAGAAGAAAAGAAGAAGGAGAGAAGAATTTGTGCGAGACAATGCTTTTTTTTGTGCGTTTTGGTCTGATGAATGAGGGTTCTGGCTGCTGGCAGCTGTCGACGGCCTGGTGTATGTACGACCGACTGGCGGAGCGCTTCCTTGTGTAGGTGCGTATGGATATACTTGGGATTCAAGACCAGCTCGAATCAAAGATGGATAAAGGATTGAAATCAACCACGAAGAGGTGGGAGAGTGAATGGGCTATTTAACAGCAAGTCACAGCCGAACAAGAAGGACTGAACAGAACAGGAAAAGGAGAGAAGAAGAAGAGAGAAGAAGGAGAGGAAAGGAGTGAACAAACACAACACTGTTGACTGTACAGAAGCGAAACACAAACACAACATGTGAGGAGGAGGAGCCCAGTCTGCCTTTATACAACAATCGCTTTGCTTGGGCCTGAGCTATAAGTGAGAGAAACGAGAAAACAAAAGCTGGCCGCCCCCGTTCAATCAGCCGCCTCGGCCAGCATCAAGCACACTCGATGCGATACAAACCCACCATCACAGGGGCGGGTTCCATCAGTGCTCATTTTCAAGCCTCGCCATTCGTCCACCGATCACAGTGTAACAAGAAGCGAGCCCATGACATGATTTGTTGCACTTTTGCCCAGTGTCAATGCTACGAGACCAAGAAAGCAGAGCCGCGTGTAAACCCACTCAAATCACACCTCCATGCCCTGCCCTGCACAAGCGCCTCCAGTAGCCTGTATCAGAATTACGTGGGAAAGAAGAAGAAAAAAGAAAAGAAAAGAAAAGTGAGAGAAAAAGCAGTAGGCCACCTCAATGTAACCTAAGCATACAATAGCCGCGCAGAGTGTACGTCAAAGCGTAGATCACTGGGCGGCTAACACGCAGCGTCACGAACGCACGCAAACTGCTCTCAGCCAACCACACCGCAGCACAAACCCCTGTCATGAAACATGCTTTTGGAAACAACCAACCACGGCGTTCGCAAGCAAGCAAAAAGCCTATTCTCTCTTATTTTACCTATTATGCTTATTCTGTTCACCCAAGGAACCATTAATTGAATCGAACCTGAATGGATGTTTCCCATCTCCTCTCCACACCAAACCAGCTCCATCACATCCCTACAAGCACCAGGCCTTAAATCGACTTCCAAAACCCCCAAACATTACTACTGAGGTATAGCAGTCAAGTCCAACAAACCAGCAAACCAAACATCAAAATATCTCAAAACATGTTCCCCCCCCAACTTACATCATGCAGATCGCACCCACACGCGCAAACAAACCGGCAGCAATTCGTTGGTAATCCTCTATTCACCAACATCTCGAAAAAATGAAACCCACGTCAAAAAGCTACTCCTCGTCGAGTTTAGCCCATTCCATTCATGTTCCCTCCCAAGCGGATCTAGCCGGACTAGTGGCCACCGTCAAACTACGTGCCAAGTCACTAGATTCTCACCGGACGCACGCCTAGCTGCCCCCTACTTATTAGTGAGTTGGCTGGTCCTTTATTGTCTAAATAGCATCAATACAATGGCTAGGGAGTATATGCACAATGATATGAGCTGTGAATGGCATTCACGCCACAGTAGAAACCGAAATAAGGGTCAGAGTTTGATTCATTATAGCGGAAGTCTTTCCCCACGTCTGCCTAGAACCGTGTAGGCGTCCAATTGCTATTGTATACATTATTAACATGGGCCTACAGTGGAAACCGAAATAAGTGTCCAGGTTTGTTTGTATAGAGTTTCTTTCCGCACGGACCTTCTGGTGGGGCGTGTGGCTAGAACAGTGCGAATACTATCATTACTCTAAGTACCGACTCTCTAAGATGTCTAACAGCTCTAGTCCAATTAGGCTGAATTCCACTTCTGGCTTTAGATTTGATTATGTACTTAGAGCGCTGTAGCCTTTCTGCCGACACCGGAGTCGAATGCTATGACTCGAACTTCATATATTTTATTTTCGATGGTCCTCATGCAGAAAGATGCAATACAATATTACAACTGTATAATACCATGAATCAATCACTCGCACGGACGGTAGAGTTATCATGGCCAGCAGCACATCCACAACAGCATCTACCGTCGGGCGCGGCGCGACAGATTGCAAAAGTTGTGCTCGACGAAGGATTCGTTGTGACCGTGCGACGCCGTGCTGTCTTAAATGTATGAAACGGGGCATTGATTGCCCTGGCTACGGACAAAATCTTCGATGGGCGAATGCGATAGCATTGCGAGGCCGTTTCAAAGGGATGCAGTGCCCTAAGGATCTACATCAGGTTAAAGTACCTGCCAAAGGATGGTCAGAGCCATGGACTGTGGCCGCAGCCATGATAGCCAAAATAGCCCCCGGGACCCCCAATGCCAGAGAAATTGAACATCTAGTTTCTTATTACTCGAGAAAAATAGCTGGGAACATGGTTTGGGTGGATTCGCCGTTTAACTCTTACAGACGGCTTGTTGTGCCCAAGGCAAAATCATCGCCCGTCATACTCCTCGCCATCCTCGCTGTATCCGCTGAGCATATGGCCGCTATAGAACCCTCGCTCCGTATGTTTGCACCTATGGCCCGCGATGTCGTTGTTTCAAACATCACGTATGAATTGTCCAGAGTTACAGAGTGCTTGGGTAGCAAAGAACCACGAGACATTCTGGATCTGGAGAGTGTAGAATGGATTCTGGCGTCTATGCTCATCCTCTCCAACTATGAGTGTATTGGCAACGCTTCTGCAGCATGGTGTTCACATCGTCTTGGTGCACGCCTTCTCATCAACGGATATTCGGACTCTAACGCTGAAGCAAGCGAGCTATTTAGATTTCTCCGCGCTCAATTTGGAATTCATGACGTCCTAGCGTCCACAACGACATGCTTGTACCTTGGTACAGACGATGTGGTGCTGCCAAAGCAAGGTGACCCGGAAGCACTGCTCTCGGATTACATGAGACTCATTCACCGACTAACGATCTATATAACGAATAAGACGCTGCAGGATATCCCTCATCCAGCGACGCTACGTATCGAGTTTGAGCAGACCCGTGGTCTCACCTTGATGAACGCATCGGCATTGGCTGTTCTCGATGACGAATCCGCTCGCCTAACCTTCATTCATCTTGTTGACGTTCATCATCTTGCAGCACTATTATATGCATATCGGTGTGTATATAACTTCACGTCTCAGAATGCTGAGATATCTTATACCACGCTGCAATTATTTGAGAAATTGCAAATCTGCGCATCCAACAATGCGCTTGTTCAGCACTTGACATGGCCGGTTTTCATTGCCGGAACTGAATGCCACAACTGTGAGCAAAAGCAGCATTTGGTATTAAAGTGGTACAGTGGCATCATCAACAAGACTGGCTTTAGGAACTATGAAGTTGTTGTGTCTTTTTTAGAGGAATTATGGAAGGACGGGCCGGAAGGTTGGCTGGAAAAGGCGAAAACCTGGGAAAGAATTGGCAAGCCTTTGCTGGCAGTTTAACTCTGTGCGGCAATCTTGTAAACTCTTGAAGACATAACCTAAACATTATATTGATAATAAGCGCGTTTTGTTAGATGGTAGGGGAGACTTCTATTAGTCTACAGAATCTATCTGTCATACATTTGGTTTTCGCTTCCCCTCATAAACATAGTATTAGGTAGACATCATCGCATTCCCTCTCCCTCAAAGTCATCGCCATACAGAATTTTAAGAGGATCATCAAGATTAACCCAACCTAAGAATGGCTTGCTCACTGAATATCCAATAAGCCTTAGTACCTCCTGCGGGTACTCTTTAATATACTCATAGGAGTTTGCCAAGTACTGGTTTTCCTCCTTTAACGAATGTCAGCTGTATTTACACAATACTGTAGCTGTATATAACAAACCTGTCGAAGGAAACCCTTAGTCATGAAACAACTGTATACGAGCCTTTCTTCATCCGTGGTCGTATTCGCACTTCCACCGTGATAACAGGAAGCAAGCATAATGAATGCATCACCAGGGTCTAGCTCGGCATAGTAGGATAGCGCCTCATCCGGACACCTCTCCTCGCCCCAAAGATGCGACCCTGGAATAAAGCGCGTGGCACCGTTTGCTCGCGTTGTCTTCTTACCGGCTACAAAGAGACCTACACTAGTATCTCTCCCAATGCGATAGTCATGATGGCTCTGCAGCTCCTGTAGCATGTTATGATGAATTGAGTCATCACGATGTAGCTCCTGACGCTTGGCACCAGGACCGATAGAAAAGACGATTGTGTTGCTTAGCTGAGGCTCAGAGACTGTAGTGTTTAGCTGATAGCCGTACCAGGACCTGTAAGTCGAGGAGAGGAGCCGCGAGCAAACAGTACGGTACAGAGGGTTGGCAGGGATGGCGTTGGTAAAAGCGTGTGATTTGCCTACCAAACCCGTAACACGGCGGGTTTCAGGAGGAAAGAAGTCGACTCCTTCCCAGGGCTTATCGGCTTGAATATGCGTACGGACGTCCTTTTCGATTGTACCGAGGATGTGCTCGTCTGTAATGAAGTTCCGGAGGACACAGCCGCCATTGCGGATGATAGATGCCACAATGTCGTCAGCATTAGGGGCAAGAGTGTAGTCGAACTCATCCACAGCCATTTATATCTCTTATGTAGATTACTGCGACAGTAATGAGTAGAAATGATATTTTACTCTCCTGGTGTCTGGGCACGCCTTTATACTTCTCAAAACCACGGCTGGCTGTGGAAGTTGCGCATTACTACATGAGTTTCTTAGTGCACAATCCAAGCAGTGTCGTCTTTCTAACCAAATCTTTTCCGTAGTGCTAAGGCCATACTTTGTCGAATCGGGTATTTGACTGAGCATCCTTTCCCAATGCAGGACTTCTTTGGAGATCTTGTTCAGAGACATCTTGCTGACTTCTGCACTAAATTAGAGAAATTTACCCAAAGGGGAAGTTAGTTGTGGAGCACTATCGGATAGACCCACTACCCCACAACAATAAGCCCTGATTGGACATTCTCTTGTGGACTAAAGCTGCCCCTCCTAAAATAACTAAATAAAAATTTTAAGGACACGGATTCCGCCTTTCACTGTAATAATTGACTTACTTATTCTTTATTAAAGATTTCCTATGCTGCCATACATACAGCATTCACTCCGCGTAAGGTTCCTCAACTGAAAGTCCAGCATATAGAAAGTAACCTCATGCACTTTTCTTATTCATGCCTACAATCTCAACGCAGTGCCTTAGAAACTCCTTGAAGTCATCCCCAATCAGACCCTCATACTCATTCTAATGCTTCTTTATAAACTGCTTAAGTTCCGCAAAGTATTCTTTAATTAGGTAATAGTCCAGCGAATACAGTAATAAAGAAAGCAGCCTTACTCCTGCCTCAGCACATAGTTATTTAAGTCTATCTAAACCATCGAAGCTAGTATTATTTATAACAAGCACAGATTTAGGTTCTTGTCACGACCCAACACTTATGGTCGCGACAATTGGTCTCCCGGGTAGGCAACACCCGGTTCAACCCCGGTTGATCCAACCAATAAGATCAAAGTCGTGCTCAGTCGACACGACTACACACGACTCGAGTCGTCCGCAGTCGACACGATCACGGACGACCTCACCCAGCACAGCTGGATATATAAGCTCCATTCGTACACTCGTTTAGAATAGTTTAGATAGCCAGTTGTGAATACAGAACAACGCTTGATCATACTTACAGAGTATTGTCTACTAGTTGTGTGAACACCTTATTATTATTCCTTGTTGATTGCCCGCCAGTTCAGCCTGGCCTATTCGCCAACATAAACCTAGTACAAGGTTTGTCCCTTGGGAATTCCTCTTATACTAACCCTATAGGAGCTCAGCTTGTCACAGTTCTAAATATCTACCACAGTGCTACAGTAATTGCTCAATAAAGTTATCGAAAAATTCACTGTTAGTTAATCCCAGATATATACGTACTAACATCACTCCGTCGACTATATATACTAGGAGAATCTAATATCTTTAATCACAATTAAAGCTATTTATTTACACAGGTGTAAGTCCTCGAGGAGCCCATCCCCATCGCCATTAGCCAACTTTCTTATTACAGCCCGACTCATCAATAAAGATTAGTTAGTTTATCTCAAACTCTAAAAGTCTATGCATATATAAATCTCATAATTCTTAGTTATATTATTTCGCCACACAGCAAGCAGCCTTTCTGGACTATCCCATAGTTTCTAAGGATCAGCTGAGATAAGAGGGTACGACTTTAACTCCCGTTTTGTCATATAAAAAATCGGCCATCTCAAATCAGTACATAACCGAATCCCTAGTAATTTAGTCACGTAGTATCTCCTCCATATAGAGTGTAATAAGGCGTCGTCGGCCGCGCAGCTTTTTTGTCAGTGTAGAGCATTATTTCGCTGATCTTCTGCAAACTATGCGCTCATGGCACTCAGCTTCCTTAGCTATAATCTCATTAGGCAAGTTTTATTTAATCATAGCATCAATCAAGTCATGTTGGAAAGCACTAAGCGGTGGAGCCATACTGCATTCAGTGTCAAGCCGGTTCTGGCTTCGAGGCTGCGGGAAGGCGTGATCTGGATAATGTTAGGCCTAGTGTAGAAATGTACGTAGCTAAATAACGGCTACACTGTACCAGCCACATTACGCCACAGACCTGGTCCGTGCGGAAAGACTTTCATTACAACAAAACCCGGACGCTTATTTCGGTTTCCACTGTACCACTTGTCAAATATAAATTCAGTGCTTCCATGGGCCAGAAGCGATAACTGTGGCTTCATGTCCAAATGCGATCCTAGTATTTGCACCGAGATTCGAAAATGATAGCATCCGTAATTGCTATTGTTAGCCCGGCAAGGGAGGTCAGAAAAAGCGAGAACGCAAATGATCAAGTCCATACTGTACATTCAGCCATATAAGCACTCGATCAGCTCATCAAGGAGTGCTTTTGTAAGAGAACGCCTTTAAGCCAGCTACTTAATTTTACTACACAACTATAGTAGAAGTTACTGGTGAAATATAAATACAGTAGCAGTTATTACAGAAATGTAAATATAGTAGTAAAAATTAAAGAAAATGCAATTATAGTAGTAGATACTTAAAGAATAAGTGTGCTTGTAATCTTCTCAGACTCGATTTTTCTGTCCTCCGATTGCCCGGATATGCAGTATATGGCCATCAAATAAAGATTCACAACCTTATACCCGCTGGCCTACAGGTAGACCCTATTCATTATGTTCCTCATCTAGCATTTTACGAACCGCAGATACGCTCTCAAGCCAGATCTAGCTTCAGCTCTCTATGGTGCCTTACCACGGTTTGATGCTGAACGGTTCAAATAGCAGCTATTGGGATCGGGTTGGTGCTCATGATATTCGCAAGTTCCTCTTACTTGAGATAGGGGTACAGGTGGGCAAGCTCTCGTTTCCAAGGCTTCAACGGCGAGGTCGAGAAGGAACTGTTTAGGCAGGTCCTCTTTACTGGCCCAATCCGTTAACCAGTCTCCACGTCCATGGTAAGTATATAAATCAACCAGAAGGCGTCGAGCGGGCGATGCTTCGGGAGTTCCGTCATATATGTAGCGGATGGCCGGCCCAACAGGAAACCAGGACTGACCGTCCGTTGCATTGGAGCGGGATTTGAGCAAGATCCCATCCAAGACAGCGTCCTTGAAACAGGTATCTTGAAGCAGCTCTCCCAATGCGTAGGCTTTTGCGAGTTGTATGTATTCAGTGTTCCCTTCTAGTCCAGGATTGTCGTTCTGGACTGGGAGTGTTTCAAAGTACAACCAGTGCATGTATATCTCAAACACTTCCGGGTCTTCTTCCTTGAGAGTGATAGACCCACTGGTAGATGTCTCCCAGTGACCCTTCATAGCAGTTTTAAAATAATCCGAAGTGCCACAAATTAAATGCTCATGAACGGAAAACGCCACTGGATTAGTTGATCCGACCGTAACAGTAAGTGCTCTACCTCGCAAACTACAGTCCAGGTAGTTAGACCAGGATGAAAGATTCAAGGTTAAAGGACTCAGCTCACTCCAGGGACCCATTCTTATACGTCCTCACCCGAGTTATATCCATGATTAATATCAAAGGGTATGCAGTATTATACGACTCAAATGTTAAGAAAACAAAACGAAGGCATCGTCTTCAACAGCAAACGGCCAACGGGGCAGCCGCAGCTTGCAGCAGCAGTAAGATCACGTGCATCCACACGTGATTCTCAACAGAACTCAAGAGTTCTCCGTGTCAAAAACAGATATTGCAAAGATCGGACAGGGCTGTCGTGGTCAAATTGATAGAGGTAGGAAACGCAATCGTTGAGTTACTGCGTTCCATTTCCCAATGCAGGTGCTAGTCAGTTCACCGCTGCGTCACTAGACCCAGCACGTGGAGTCGGTGCTACATAGGTACATTAGTCGTCTGGCAGCACAACCTGTTATCTCACTGTGCTTCTGGACCAAGTCTACAGACATGCTCTCCCGTAACATGGCCCTTTTCTCACGTAAAACAGAGCACTTCAATATCAAATTGCTCCTAGTCTCGTTTCCTCCAGCGTCTTTCGCCGTGCTGTAAAATATCAAGGTGTAGATAAGCTGGACTTTGTAACTGCTCGAGGTATTGCGTTGCATATGATTCACGAATGATTGCTAGCCCAGAATAGCCCAAAGGAGACGACGACTCCCTACAGGAAGGAAGGCTTTTGCGAAAGCAGTAAGATCTTTTTATCTTCCCTCAGTAGGTATCTGTTAGCCTTACGCTGGAATGACTACGTGCCTTTTCCTGATATTGAACTGAACAGCATCAATACAATAGCTAAGGGGCATATGCACGTTGATATGAGCTGTGAATTATACTCATGCCACCAGGTGAATCATCATCTCACGTTGCATAGGATCGCTTTGTGTGCATATTTTCTTCTTCAATAACTCGCTCAGCTGACCACTTCATGAGATAGTACCTATACCTAACTCTACCCTCGAATCCATCAGATAAAGCTAGCTGCACTCCTCGAGGCCCCTGAGTTTCTACCCGCTTGAGCCTCAAAAACCATCCTTGGTTCCGCCGTGCACAAACTCGATCCATCGCTTACTACTAGGTACTCATCGCAGTGGGCTGACAAACCGGGCAGTTACACGCATCCTCCCATGGCCTTCGATCAATTGCCTCAAAGGAAGGCCACCGTCAACGGTAAAGGGCAGTCCGTAATTTCGAGTCATCATCGTAACTGGTCATCATTTCATCCCGTTCTTCTTCCTCCTGCAGCTGCGACTTCTTTCTCCCTCTCCTTCTTCAACGCTGCGGCTGTTGCCGTGCTTCAACTTTGCTTCTCCTCTCCGCTCATGGTCCGATGCCATGGTTCGACAACTTTCGTCCACAGCGATGTTGCAATGCTGCATCACGCTGACCAAATACATGTTCGCTAAGACTATCGCCGGTCTTTGCCGTCAATGTCACCTGATGCTGCCCGTCTCCCCATTTAAAATGTAGTCGTCTTCTCCTTCATGCTCCATCTAAGAGCTCGTCAGTTGGGGGCTATCGCCGCCAGCTCATCCGCGAAATCTCATGCCGGAGTCGACCATGCTTTGAAGTAAAGCTCGCGGGCTCAATGTTCGAAATCATGTTCCGGCACAAATCGGGTTTCCTTCTCTCACAGGCCAAGGTGTCGACCACGTGGACATACACACAAAAAGAGTCGTCATCCCAAATGTAGACTTGGCTGTAAACGCTCATGGGCCGCCGTATCACAACTGTTCGATGCGCCTCTTTACCTTCTTTTCTCTTCCTCCACCTCCCCCTCTTTTTTTTGGTTGAAATGAGTATTGTATAATTTGTTCCTTTGCAAGATAAAACTACCGCAAAGTAATCCAGAGCTGTGATGGAAAGCCAGAAACTGCCGCGGCGAGCGAATAGCAGCCAAAAACCTGATAGATATGCAACGCTCAGGGTGACTCTTCTTTATGTCTTTTGCAAATCTAGTCGTGCATGTCCAATCCCCTACTTAGCTTCATCCGATCCCTCCACCTCCTGGCTCTTGGGAGACGTGGAAGATGTACGATTGGCCTGCGGGGCCGGATGAGGATGGCTCTGTGGTACATGATGTTGCTGCTGTTGCTTGTTGTTGTTGTTGTTGTTGTTGTTGTTATAGCTGCTGGGTGGCTGTGGGCTGTAGTGGTGCGGCACTTGCTGAGGGTTCGCCGCGAAATGTTGAGGCCCAGGTCCGTTATAGGGTCGCGCATTGGACACTGCAAACGTCAGCCCGGAAGGTTCCCCTCCAGTTCAGTAATAAAGGCTTCACTGACTTGGTGCACTGGTTTGTGCTGGGCCGTATGCCGGCTGAGTGTATTGGATGCTGGGGCTCATTCCGTACATGTTATGCCCTTGCTGAGACCCCTGATGAACCATCATGGGCGCGGCTGGCCGTCCCGGGCTGGGATATCCGTTAGCTCCCGGCACCTGCTGCGGCGGGCCAGCGGGTGGCATGAACTGTGGGTGGTGTCCACCTGGATACATCAGGTGAGGGGCCATCATTCCCTGAGGCCCTGGAATGAACTGTGGCTGCATCATCATTGGAGCTCCCATATGCCCCTGTGCCGGCACGTAGTGCGGGTTGTTAGAGTAGCTCCTAAACTGACCGAGCTGAGGGTTACCGGCACCGAGGAAGACAGGCTGTCCATACGGGACCTGAGCCCCTGGGTTCACTGGCGGGTACGCCACGGGCAATTGTGCCATGCGGGGCGATGCGAACGACTGGGCAGAATTGGAGTGCATCATCCGGTGGTCGTCGTTACCGTAGGGCTGGTGAGGCACAGGCCCATGCTGCGGTGTGTGCATCTGCATCGGAGGCATGTGTGGAGACTGTCGCGGCATCATGTTATGGGCGCCTTGTTGGAGGTGGAAGGGCAGTTGATGCTGGTGAGCCATCTGAGGCAAAACATGAGACGGGTTGGGGGTAGGCACGGAGGGGTTCAAGAAAGGCTGTCGCTCAAAGTACTCCTTGTAGGTAAGATGCATAGTAGAGTCAGACTTTTCGTCATCCTGCAGCTGGCGCCAGGTAGGCAAGGTGTCGTAGGATGGCCGCAGACCACCATTGTCATCCCAGTTCCTGCCTTGAGGCGGGACAATGGTCTTGATGTGTGACAGGATGTAACACTTGTTGACGTCGATAGCCTTGGTCTTTCGCCGGATGAGCTGCCCCTGAAGTTGATTGACGGCATTGGCCGCATCAGTGACATGATTGGCGGCAGATCGGGGGCTAGATCCTGCACTCGGATGTCCATTCGGGTTGAAAGACGGCGCGAAGGGACTGGGTCTGAATTCGTTGCTATTGGGGTTCAGTTTCGCTCCAAGATGGCCACTGTGCCGCCGAGCGTAGTCCGCGCCGTTAGCAGGACCAGTGGGCGGCGCACGAATTTCGGGACCGACAGCATGCTGATGGGGAGCAGGAGGCTGAGAGAACTTTTGCTGCTCCACGTTGCGGATGCGCTGCGCCAGTGTGCCATTCGCATGAGGCTGCGGCGCATGTTGAGGACCCACGCGGCCGTTTCGGTAGCCTTGGTTGTGATACTGCTGCTGGGTGAACTGTTGGCGAGGGCCAGTATGACGGTTGGATCCGCCGTTCGGGGGCGTAGCCTGGGGAACAGGAGCCCCTCGTGCAGGCCGAGTCTCGACGGCGGGAGGTGCTGTTGTCGAAGCCTCCGCACGCTTGGGCTGAGTCGCGTCCTTGGGTGCAGTGGCATCCTTCTTGACCTGGGCGGCGTCGGTCTTAGCCTTGGCCATCTCCTCTGCGTTCTTCATCGCCTTGGCCTGAATCTCCCTTTGCTTGGCAGGGTCCTTGGCGATGATGGACACCAGATCAGAAGGAACCGGTGTTGAAAGCTTGAAACTGGTTGCAAATTTTTTGAGCTCCGTCAACTTGACCTCCTTATCCGCCTTTGCCTTGTTGCTTCTAGCCTTCTCTGCGTTGAGGCGTTGCTGGGTAGCAAACGACTTGAACTCTTTCAGAACGTCACGTTCAACAGTCGACGTTGCACTAGGAGCATTCGGGGGCAAGTTGGAGAGCGGACGAGAATTAGGAGTAGGGGTGGCCCTGGTGGTCGCCGCTTGTTTCTCTGCCGGTTTGTCTTCTTTCGCTGGGGGAGCGGCAGCGGCATTGGCAGTAGCAGTAGCAGTGGTGGTAGGAGTGGGGGTAGAGGCTTTGCTTTCCACAGGCTTGAGGTTTGACGATTGATTCTCAGTGGGCTTTTGGGTATCGTTCTTGGCCTGGGCTCCGTTCTTGAGGGCATCAGCAGCCGTAGCCTTTGATGGCTCAGACGCTTGCGCAGGCTGCTTCTTCGGCACAGCCTTAATCTGCGAAGAGATGATTGCTGGATCGACAGGAGCGCCCTTGACAGTGGCCTGTCCAGTTGGAGCTCGTTTAGCCGGAGGCATGTAACGATTCTCCCGTCCAGATGCCAGAGGGGGAAAGTCTTGACGGCGGACACCGCTGTATCTATTTTGATAGTTTAGTACAACAGAACGCAGGTTGAACAAGTCCGATGGATGTAACTCACTTGTCTTCCTCATTATCATCGGCACCCTTGGGGCCGGAGTAGTCCATGACACGTTCCTCGGCTACGTGAGTAGTCATGGCTGCACTGCGCTCAATTTCCCTAGCCTTCTTTTCAGCGGCTGCAATTCTCTCTCGGTACTGCGGGTGGTCCTTGTTGATTGCAGTGGTATAGATGTTCTCATCGTAATCGGTCTTGAGACCAAAGAGTCTCTCGTTTTCAGCAAACTGGTCCCAGCCAGCGGTGGAAGTGGATTTCTCCAAAGATCCATCAATAGCATCGTTCTTGTCAGGGATCCATGGCTGCAGAGTTCTCTGCGCTCCGAAGCGGCCGTTCGAAATTGCAGTGTCGGTCCTGAAACTAGATCGATTACCTAGAGGCACGTTAGATATTTGACATAATCTACTTGATCAAAAGAAATATCCCCCCAAAAACGTGAGGAGGTAGTGACCGTAATGACAGCAACTTACCATTCATTTTTCCATCCACCTTGACCGAATTACCCCCGCCCTGCTGGGCGTCTCTTCTCTGTGGCTTCGACATTGGTATCGAACTTTTGCCGTAGGCGCAACTTCCCAAATATCTTTATTATACCGCCACAATGTAAACCACTCGTCGAATTGGCAGGAAGTGTTGGCTTGAATAAGCTCACACGTTTGTCGGTATCCGGAGCTGGGGAACCTGAGTTACTGGGAGGGTCGTCTCGAAGTACGCTCCAACCTAGGCGAAAAAAAGTACACGTTAGCATCAAGACAAGGGCGTATTTCAAGAACAAATCGTTGCCACGGCGCATGGGGATTGACATGGTGGGATTGCAAGGAAAGCCAAAACAATGCAGTGTAGCCAATGCACCCAATGCTAGGAGACAAGAAAGTCCTCCCACCACGTGGAAGCAGCTAGGCCTTGCCGACAGGCTCTAGAAACGAAGCGGTGTCCATGGAGGGAGTGTTTGAGAGGTGAAAACCAGGCCAGACGAACCTCGCGATGGTGACGAAGAGGGCTTGTGTCACTCGAACAGGCCACCGAGCCGGGCAAGTCGGGGTGGCTGTTGGGGAGGATGAGATTAAGTAGGTTGGAGGGCAAGAGAAAGGAGGGAAAGAGAGAGAAGTGTCGTGGGAGTTTGCCTGTGGCCAGCGCTCGCTCCTGAGACGCACAAAAGAAGTATTAGCGGATCGTCTGTGGAGGCGCTCGCAGAGCAGAGACCACGATTGTCGTTGATGGATAGGCCCAGGCGCAAAGAGAACCTTCCGGCAAAGAGGCGGCGGACCTGTCAAGGGGGATGAGGGGTTGTAGTGGGAAAAGATGCAACAAGGAAGAGGGAGATACGAAGCAGAGAGGAACAAAAGAGAGAAAGTTGTCAACAAGCACAAAACAGACGTATCGTGAGAAGCGGCGTTGATGGGCAAAAAAAGGGTTCAGAGGCGGCGCTGGTTCGGTGGGGAACGGCGCAAGAGAAAAAGAGGCCAAGGAGGCTCACCTGGGCTGTTTGGAGAATGCAGAGGTCAAAGGCAAACCAAAGGCTAAGTACAGGTCGAAAGAAGAACAAGAACCAAAGGAGAGGGTCGAAATGTCGGCCGTGTCGTCCAGCTCGCCGCTGCTACGATTGCCTCGCAATGGGCAGAGGGGGCATGGAAATGGAAGAAGAAAAAAGAGAGTGTGAGAGAGAAGTGAAAGGGAGGACGAGGCGTCTATCTGGCGAGGCTTTGTCTTGAGCGGATCATGGCATGGAGCGCTACCGCCACTTTTCTTTGATGCTGGCGACCCTTGTTCACTCTTGCCCCGGGGCTAGAACAACAGGTGGCAGAGGTATAGGCAAAGTACCGGAATCTTTGCGGTGCTACGGCTTTCAGGGAGACGCTACAAGTGTTGGGCGAGTGAGAGGCGCTAAGCCGGCACGACAGCGACATCCAAAGTACCTGGACAATCTGGCCTTGGTCCCCATATCAATGAGTATCCAGCAGGTAGCTGGTATGTGGACCTCAAAGTACAGCAGAGAGCATCAGGTACACGTGCGATACCGCTTCCAAAGCACTTCCAGTCGATACCCCAGGTATAGTAGCGCTACTAAGGTACCTGTATGCTAGGTGACTTGTCCAGCTACGGGTTCCTGGCCTCGTTTGACGATGCGTGGCCATCCAGCGTTGGCCTCGTTGATGCCGTCTGCAGGTTGCTGCTGCTGCTGCTGCTGCTGCTGATGCCGCTGCGCTGTTGTCACTTGCGCTTTGGGCTCTGCAGCGCGCCCTGCATCTGTCCAGAGGTACCGGTACGCGGCAGGGGAGGAGACCTTCTGCCGCGTTAGCGGTTAGCGGTCCCTCTGGCGGGCCTGGGGGGCCTGTTCCGAGACCTGCGGGAGCGGCGTCGAAGCCTCCAGCACGCCGGGCTCAGGTACATGTACTTGAATTCGTATCTTGCGCAGGGCTCCGCACCAGAAGCTTTAAGCGTTTCTGGCCGAAACATGGGATTGACATGGGCGCGTGAGCACCGCCGGCAGGACGAATTCACCTTTGATGCTGCTAATGCTCGCTAGGCACATCCCGAGAGAACACATGGGAATCTATCAGTCTAAATCTAACCTTCGTGCTGCTTCTGACAGCATCGTGACAGTGAAGAAGAGAGAAAACTGTGTGGCAGAGAAGCTCTTCATTGGGCACCGCGCCTGCGGAGCTGTTATTGCTCGCATTAGCAGAAACTCTCTTTAGCCTTGGGGCGCTGGCGGGGGAAACAGAAGTTGACTGGGCAGAGAGAGAGGATTCCCCGGCTCTTGGGGGCTGTGTAGGTACGATTGGTGTCAGGGAAGAAAACGGTACTTTGGATGGCATGATGTCCGTGATGGAGGTGGCACCGCATATGTAAGGCGCTGCAGAAGTGCAAACAAGGCGTGGAGATAAGGAGGAGACGGAGCGGATGGATTTGATTGCGTTGCCGATGTCGAATAGGCTGAATATGCAGCAAACGCAGAGAAGTAGCAAACGTAGAAATGCAGCATCTATTTTCAGAGCCTTGTCTGAGTTGGTTCCGATCCTTGTTGGACTTGACATCGGATAGGCAAGATTCATCTCAACTCTGGTAAGTGATAATCGCAAGTCTGCCGTCCTAATCCAGACTAGCAGCATATCCGCAACATGTAATGTAGCAACTTTGCATTGCCGAGCTTCAGTTATAGGTGGGCAGTGTTCCTGAATATCCCACTCAACCAAATCAAATAGAAATTGATCAGCACAATTGAAGAACAAAGAAGCATTTGATTCGCGATTTCTTCAATAGCTTCTTCAGATCAGTGCATCAATTGTCAGCGTCCCTGTAAAATCTAGGATCTGTTCCAACAAAAAAGTCAAGACCCCTCCCACCCCAACGAACCGGGGTCTCCTCCACCTAAATCCAACCACCAAAACTTCCAGCATCGCCAACATTTCCCTTCTTCCTTTCCCACCACAAGACTCTCTCTCCCCCCCTCTCTCTCTCCAAACAACCCAATTCGCGTCGCAAAACCCCCCAGAATATCCTCCAGCAATGGCTCCCTCCCAAAAGGCAGCGCCCCAAAAGCCTGCCTCCTCCCCAATCAAAACCGCCTACCTCATCCTCTACAATGCCGTCTCCGCCATAGCTTGGGCCTCCGTCCTCGCAAACACAGTTTCCACGCTCTACGCCGGCGGCGGACCTAGCCTCGTCTACGTCACCACCGGCGAACAGACGAAATGGGTCCAAACCGCAGCCGCCATGGAAATCCTGCACTCCCTCTTCGGTAAGCAGCGCAGCAACAACAAATCCCACATCATCAATTTCCTTTCTAACGCGAAACAACCTTGCAGGAGTCGTCCGCGCGCCCCTCTTCACAACTCTCATGCAGGTCGCATCCCGTTTCCTGCTTGTCTGGGGCGTCCTCTTCTTGTACCCGTACCTCGCCGTCGAATCGCCCACGTACAGCTCCATGCTCATCGCCTGGTCCGTCACCGAGGTCATCCGCTACTCTTACTTTGCTCTCAGCCTCGCCGGCTTCACGCCTCGCATCCTCACCTGGTTGCGATACAACACCTTCTTCATTTTGTATCCAATTGGCATTATGAGCGAATGCTCGCTCATCTATTTTGCTGCTGTGGGACCTGCTGCGAACGCTACCGAGTATCCATTGACTCTGATGCCGTATATTCTGTATGGCATTTTGGCAATCTACGTTCCAGGTTAGTACATTGCCATTCAATTACCTACAGGTGTAGATTATTGCAGGGCAAGAGATCTAACGAGAAGTTTTATAGGCGCATATATCTTGTACACTCACATGATGGCCCAACGACGAAAAGTCTTGCGCAGCCTAAAGACCAAGGACGAAAAGGCGACACAATAAGCGAAGAGTAATTATACAAAAGAGCAAGAATCACATCTATGCAAGACATGGCGATATTTGCATACTAGATTCTTGGCAGGAGTTTTTTGTGATTGGGATAATAAGACGGGCAGAGCGTAAAAAGAAAAAAAACCAAATACCGTGTGTGTATACAGACAGTAATAATGCTAATCGTAAAAATATTCAATCCAACCGTCTTCTTCGCGCCAATTGACTCCCCATGTACCGAGTATTTTTCTATTTCATGGCACGTCAAGGTATTAACCACGCCTTCATCTCAGCTGCTGGAGCTGTCGGGACTGCTGAGGTTGCTGAGATCGAGATCGTGGCTCATGGCTTCCATCGGACCAATTCCTACGCACCCAAGAGCCAATCAAACCCGACGAATCTTGTAATAGCTTCTCGAACGCCGGGTTCTTCTTGGCTTCAAACATACCTATCAAACATCATTAGCATTCAACAACAGTCAAGCGAAAAGAGGAGGAGATAGGGGATACATACTGACATGGGCGCCGATCTCGTCCGCCACACTATCATTCACAGCCGGTATCCAATGCCCAGAAGGCTGCTTGTTCGGCACAACGCAAAACGTCCTGTCCTTGCCCAGCACCGTGCCGACCATGCTGACCGTCTTGCTCTCCGCCCCCTTGCCCAGCCGGGTATACAGATTTGCGAACCCGACATTCAGCTCCGCGCTCAGCTTCTCCATGTACGCGACTCGCTGCTTGAGGGCCTCAGGTCGAGCGAGGCAGCCCACGAACTCGAGATGAGAAGACACCCACGACCATCCAACCGAGATGTGTTCGCGGTTCATCCACGCCGCCGCTCCGCCCGCCGCCGCCACCGAGGCAGCAGCTCCATACATGGCAATCTTCCCCCAGCCCCAGCCGCCATCATCACTCTTAGCCGGCGGCGCCTTGGTAAGTGCGGTGGAAGCAGCAGCAGCAGCTTCGTCACCACCGCCTCCCACCATCTTCCACAGCGAACCCAGCTGTCCGAGAGCCGACTGGGCCGTCTGGTAATGGCCCTCGGCACCGTACGCAACCACGCCGGGCGCAATGCCTAAGTACGGAGTATCATAGGCCAACACGCCCTGGATGCGAGGAAACATGAGGTGATTGAACGTCGGACCGCCACCAGACTTGTCGATGCCGTCTTCCGTGTAGATGGGCTTCTCGGCAGCCAATCCCATAACCGTCTCTGCAGCGACGATGCCGCCCATGGAGTGTCCAATTAAGATCGTCCGGACGGATGGCTCGACCGTTGGCGATGCTGTGCCCATAGCAACTTCATAGTCGATGATTTTGTCCTGCAGCCTGTTTCCCACCGTTTCTGTCAGCCCTGTAACTGTAACTCTTCTTCAATGGCACCCAAGAGTATAATATCATACTCACCAGCTGCGGAACCTGCTCACAGCCTCCCCCAAGTCGCCCCTCGTCTCGTATTTCGGATACACCAGCACCTTGATACTAATGCCAGGCAGCTCCCGTATCACCGCCGCGCGAAGCTCCTCGACAAACGAGTAGTTGTCTCCAAACGTGGATTCGCCCCCCTAAAGCCCATCAACAACAGACACAATTCGATTAGCTCAAGTCCAATACCACTTCTAACAATTGAAACCCCCATTTCGCAATGTCGTTGGCACCCATCACCACTGCCCAACGCCCATATTCCTCAAGCACGGATTTCCCCCCACCACGCACGACCCTGTTCAAGCGGTGGGGGGAATAGAGGACATCAAAGCAAACACCAAAGAAAGAAAAAGCAAAACATACCTTGAACCCATGAATAAAGCATAAAATGAGCGTCTTCTTCATCTTGTCGTCATCCGCAGTGACGCAACTGGCTGTAACAACTTGTTCCCACAACGGCCGCCGCCAGCAACTCGGTGGGAGAAATTCGGGGGCTTCGGTTTCGGTGTTTGCTCCAGCTGTTAAGAAAATCCCATGTCGCGTCACTGGGCATCGAGGAACTGCAGGGTGCCCGCCTTGGGCTGGCGCGAATGGGGTATAAATGGACAGCTCAAGAGGTGGCGAAGCTGCGGCAGATGGCGTTTGCTGACGGCATTTGGGCGCTGGGCCAGTACAGTACAGTGTACAGCTAGCGCTTTAGCTCAGTATAAGGCAGCACTAAGATAACCTAGAGCTTGTTTACGGAGTAGAGGTGGTTGTTAGTGTCGTTCACATGCCTGGCCCATCACTACCGCTAGGTATTAGATGCAAGCATCAATGAAACAAACAATGTCACCACTATACCATGAAAACATGCTGCTTTGCGTCTGTATCAACGTCTATTAAGAATACATTTTACTACTTATATCTAGACATGCACAGGCAGGGAGACAATCAACCCAAAAGACACGACAGACCGCCACAAGGACAGTCGCCGTGCTCTCTCGACTTCGTCTCCTCTTCCAATCCTTCCCTTCCCAATAGAAAAAGATATTAAGAAAAAAAAAGGGGGGGTCCTCTGGTCATCCAAATATGCCGCCCAGATGCTTCAGCCATCTGCTCTCTCTCTCCATCTCAACTTCGTCTTGTACATTGCTGGTATTTTTGGCCTGCCTGGACCTGTCCTCGCCTTTCCCTGAGTTGCACTCGATATAAACGCCGATCCTCCCAACGCCGCAGAATACATGATCAAACAAGCCGCTTGCGGGGCATTCGTCGGGAGATGTTGTCCTCCTCCTGGTGCCATCAATTTTTCTAATTATTTCTCCCGCTGGCAACCACATAAACCCCCCATTTCGTCGTGAGTTGGCAACCCCCTGCTCTCTGGTCATAAAAGAAGAAGAAGGGTATGCATCGTCAATCTCGTAATCATCCTCAGTCTTCGTCGCTTTGGGCAGCAGAGCGAGCGCCATTTGCTTCTCTGGCCGCGCTGGAAATGATCTTGATACGAGTTCCGCTCGGTTGCGGGGTGCTTCCGTTGCCAGAAGGCGCCGCTGATCCTGCCTTGCCACCTTCTTCCAACTCAAGAAGCTCTGGGTGTGCGTCCAACTCCTCCTGGTATTTCTGGGTGAAGAATTCCTATTTTCAAATCATTAGTTTCTGATATGCCAAGTGGCTCCTCTGTTCAACTTTTGACTTACATCCATTGTTTTAGCATCCTGGTACAGGATGCTACCATCTTCGTTATATGTTTGGCAGTTGCGTATCAGCAAGTCAAAGTCCTTGCGAAGGTCGCTTAGGCAGTTGTACTCCTCCTTCTTGATACGCGTCTGAATGTGATTCATGCAGATGGGGTTTTGAATAATCACATAGTAATCAGCATACTCGCGCTTCGGAGGCAACTTGACAAACGGTCCGATAATGAGACGCTTCCCGGCATCGGATTCATCATCCTCCGCCGGCGGCTCGATGTCGTCCACTTCCAAGTTCATTAGACTGTCGTAGAGCGCCCGCAAACTCTTTTGCAGAACCTCTCGTTGCTGCGCCGACATCCGAGCATCAGCGTGGGCAGCAGACTTGCTGGGCCGTCCCTGAGGGCCGCGTCGCTTCTTCGTAGGAGGTTCGTCATTCTCTTCTTCTGCCTTTCGCTTGTCATTCTTGCTACCAGGCTTGCGGCCCCTCTTCTTGGGCGTCTCGACTTCTTCCGTGCTGGCGCGGCTGGCTGAGGGTGAGTCGTCAACCGAGTTGACCATGGATTTCTTCAGCCTGTTGGCCTCTCTCTTGTCCTTGCGGGCTTGCTTGCGTGCCGCGGCCGCTTCTGGAGAATCCTCGTCATCATCCACAGCCATTAACCATTGCTCTTCTGTTAGGCCGTCGTCGTATTTCACCTTGGTACGCTCACGAGCGCCACGACCAAGAATAACTTCTTCAGCATCATCTGAGATGGGATTGCCTTCGTTGAGGTAAATATCCGGCAGCTCATCTTCACCCATTAGTCGAGACTTTCCTTTGGGACCGCCATAGACAGGGTCCTTCTGCCTTTCATCGTCCAACTTTTGGAAAACCACAAGCTCATTATCGTTACGAGCGAGTAACATGTTGAGCTCTTCGTCTTCCATCTCCTCTTGTTCGCCAGACTCGGCCATATCCGCAGTTTCCAGCAAAGTTCGAAGCATGGCGTCTCGATCAGTCTCAGAGGATTTGTTGTCGAAACGACCTGCCTGAATGACTTTGCCATCCATGTCCAGCTTGAACCTAGCGCGTTCCAGAATCTTCTCTTCAACCGAGTTGGAGCTGATAAGACGCAGAATTCGCACTTCGTTCTTCTGACCGATACGATGAGCACGATCTTGAGCCTGTAAATCCTGATGAGGGTTCCAGTCAGAGTCGTAGATGATAACGGTATCGGCCGTTTGCAGGTTAAGACCCAGACCACCGGCACGAGTAGACAGCAAAAACAAAAAGTATTCAGAGCCAGGCGCATTAAAGTCTCGGAGGAGATCAGAACGCTCATCAGATTTCGTTGTACCATCCAAACGTAGATATTTGTAGCTCCGGTAACGAAGATAGTCTTCCATGATGTCCATAATGGCCGTCATCTGGAAGAACATCAACACACGATGGCCGGTCGCCTTGTACTTGGGTAGAATTCGATCTAGCAGTTCGAATTTACCCGCCGTTCTCCAGAGGAGGTCGTTGCTGATGTTGAGAGGGTTCATGACATTCTCGACCACATCAAACACAAACGGATGGTTGCAAAGCTTTCGCAGCTGCATAATCATGTTGCTCAAACCGCGAGCACCAGTCTTGCCGCCCTTGCCATCGCTGACAACCAGCTTGTTGTGAGTAACCATCTGCTTGTACAGCTTGGACTGCAGCGCCGAGAACTTGCACTTGATGACCTTTTCGGTCTTGTCGGGTAAGTCTTTCTCGACATCCTTCTTCAGACGACGCAGCAAGAAGGGTCGCAGGACCTTGTGCAGACGTCGAATGACGAGAATCTGCTCTTCTTCAGTGAGCTCCATCTTGTCCTGGCCACCAGTGTTGGCAAAGGGAGTGTTGAACCATTCATCAAACGTCTTGACAGACTTGAAAATGTTTGGCAGGACGAAGTTGAGCATGGCCCACAGTTCAGAAAGGTTGTTCTGAAGAGGAGTACCAGTGAGAATCAGACGGAAGCGCGTGGTGTAGTACTGCTGAATGGTGGCGCTGAGCTTGGATTGCGTGTTCTTCATACGATGACCTTCATCGATAATCATGTGGAACCACTTGATCTTGCTGAGGATAGGCCGATCCTTGATAATGTACTCGTAAGTAGTCAGGAGGACCTGGAATCGACCCTGTCGAATCTTTTCCTGCTGCAGTTTACGGGTATTGGGGGGACCCTTGTACACGACGCGAGCTACGGACGGGGCCCACTTTTCGAATTCGAGATTCCAGTTGGTAAGAGTACTCAATGGAACAATCACCAAGTAGGGTCCGCTCTGCTGCTTCTGCTCAATCAGGTAGGTGATCAGACTGATGGTCTGGATCGTCTTTCCGAGACCCATTTCGTCTGCAAGGATACCATTGAGGTTGTTGTTATATAGGGATATCATCCACTGCAGACCCTTGATCTGGTACTCCTTCAGTGTACCTCCAACCAGGATGCTGGCCTGCTGGGTAACCTCTTCGCGAATGCGATGCGCAACAGCGTAGTAGTCAATCTTCTTACCGCTGTCTTCTTCGTCAAGTTCGCTCTCTTCCTCAACAAAGGTGCCCGCATCGGTACCATAGGTCTCGGCGGCTTGGCGCTGCTGGGCCTTAACCGACGACGCAAGCTGGTGCAAGAAGCCATCGGTCTGCTTGAGTAGATGCGTGATACGAGTATCCTTGGCTTGGTCGAGCAGTTTGAGATAGGCCTCCTCATCGTTGGCCTTGAGAGCCTGCAGACGCTGCTTAGCTGTCCTCTCGATGCGCTTCTGCTCTTCCTTTTCAATGTTGAAATGGTGTGAGTACATGAGCCTGCTGAGTTTGTGCGACTTGTTCTTCTGGGCGGCCGCGGTCTCGGTAATCTCGGCACGATGGTTGTAAATAGCCCGAAGGAAGTCGTTGTGCTTCTTCTTTTCGCGGTTTTCGCGAGCATCACGCTGCTGCTTCTCGAGCTTCTCTGTAATGCGAGCCTCGCGGACATTCTGCTTCTTCATACGACGGTAGTTTGTCCGGTTAGTCGTCATAGCCAGGTTATCGTAGTGCATCATCTGGCGGGCAATTTTCTCGCGAAGAGCCCGCTGTTTGGCGTACAAGGCCAAGCTCTTCATTTCAATGACGGCCTTGACCTTTACGGAATCATCAACCTCGACATTCTCCTTGGTGGTGTCCCAGTGGGCAATATTTGCAGGCAGATTTTTCAATTCCGAGTATCGTTGGCTCATGCGGTTGAAGACGACAACTTCTCTTTCATACCGCAGATGGTCGAAATCAATGCCTGTCGGGAAGACACCTGGAATAAACCATCGGTTCTTTCGCTGTGCATGATCAAAATACTTGATAGAGGATCGAATCATGCTAGTGCCATATGGTGATTTGACAGTCTTGTAGGTATGTGGCTTGGGAAGTAAGAGCGAGTCGTCTTGAGTAGAAGGCTCGACACCATTTGGCGTAGACTTGGAAGCATCCGAGCCAGGTTGGGGAGTCTTTGATGAGGCCGGAGTTGGAATCGAGGACGAGGTGCCAGCTTGGCGTAGTTGACGCTGCTGGAAAATGGCTTGTTGGAGCTGCATAGAGATGCCGGCGTTCTTGCCGAGAAGCTTGAATGCATGAATCTGCTGTCTAAGCAAGCCCAGCTGCTTTTGGGTGAAGTGGCTCGATGATGAACCGGAGCTTGATGGCGGAGGGATGCTCGGGGCAGCGGCAGTAGGTGCATTCAGGTTAGGCGCCGCAGTCGTCGCTCCAACGGCATTTGGCGCAGCCTGCGTCGTTTGGGGCCCATTCTGCTGCGGGCGACCCGGGTGAACACCATTGAGAGTGCCATTGGCAGCATTGGCAGCGGCGTTTTGGGCGTTTTGAGCATTCTGTTGCATCTGCTGCTGAGCCTGGATGTACTGCTGCTGGGTTCGTCGCATGTTGTGTTGCTGCTGAAAGTTGAGCAGGAACTGTGAGGCTTTCACATACTCGGGGTCGGATGGCGGGATGCCCTGTTCTTTCATTTGCTTGAGTTTCTATCCCAAAGATGTTAGCTTTGCGCCTAGGAAGAACACATGGTAACCAACGCGAGATAAAACAAGTATATATAAGAGTCAAAAAGTAAGAAGTAAAAAATAACACGCGCGTGGCTGCATACCTTAAAGACCTCTTCGGCCTGTTGCTTGGTCGCCCCGGCAGGCATTGGCGCGCCCGGGAGCTGGACAGCGGGCGGAATCTGTACTGATGCCATGGTGGTGTGTTGTGATGGAGTTGGGCCAAGAGCCGTTTAACCTGTCGACACCCCAATATGTATCTCGATGGTAATCCACCTATAAACAGTGCATAGCGAGGAGCGAGTGTGTGAAAGTCGTGCCCGGCGTGTGCGAGGCTGGCGTGGTTGTTGCTGTTGTTGCGACTCGGTGTTGGATGTCGAAGCAGAATCAAGGATACCGGGGAAAAAAGTTGCAGGCGGCGCGTCAAACCGGGCAAAAGAAAATGGCACGAAGGTGAAGAAAAAAGACAATGCGCGGCGAGTGGCGTCGTAGAGACAAAGTCACCGGTTGGTGAGACTGCGAGTTGGGCAAAGGAAAAAGTGGAAAAGAGTCAACGGTCAAGATCCAGGTCGTGGGAGGTTGCGGCAACGACAGCCTTGCGACGCTCTTAGACGCGGACGTGGGGGATCTCGAGGCGAGCGAGAGTTCAACCGCAGGCCAAGGGGGCTCCGAAGCAGATGCGAAGAGAAAAAAAAATCCTGCCCAGGGGGAGGCGCGGCGCGTCGGATCGGGTGCCGCAGGCGTGAGCGGCGTGCAAAATCGCGTGAAACACGAGGTTTGCGACGATTGGAGATGGACGCCGATGGTTTGCGAGGGGACCTGGCGATTTTTGGGATGCGCGCGCTGGCTGATGATGGAGTGGTGAAGACACAACTGACAAGATTCGGCGTGATGGCTGGTGCGGTTCTGGCGCGGCTGACCACAGTACATTTGAGCACGATGCCTGCGCACGCCTCAGGCTGGGGCTGGGGGGCAAGCCGGGAAGAGAATTTCGCATTAGGTAAAGAGGGATTCTAGGCCTCACGTGATGGGCTGCACGCTATTACTCACGGGAATAAGAGAATAAAGTGGGGCTCAGGAACAATGCTGAATGATAAAGAGAGAGCAGCGAGATCAATGAATGCTTTATAATGGCTTCTGGGTACCTGCAGTACTCTTTAGGTCTTATCAATAAATAAAATATGGATACACTGCTATAGATAGATGGGCAGTGATTGAAAAGATGGCTATAGATAGATCGATAGATAGATGAAGGCGCCCAATAGATGAACCTTTGATTAGGTAGGTATACGTTACGCTTACAACACACAGAAGCCGTCTACCGCTTCGCACGCTTCCTGTCTGGACCCTCCTCTTCATCATCGCTCAGCTCGGCATACTGCGTCTCTGGCTGCGTCTCTTTCCACGCCTTGGTAAACATGGGGTCGCTCTGGGCCTTGTCAGCATACTTCAGCAACGCTTCACGGGGATCCTCGTGCAGCATCTTGGCCAGAGGAATGTTTTCCGCAATGTGCCGTTCGTCTGGCTGGCTCTTTTGAAATGGCGTTTGCAGTGGCACCTCAGGCCGTCGGGGATCCTTGGACTTGCCAGTACCCGTGACTCCAGCCTTGCGCGAGCCCTGCATGGCCCCGGGCGTGACAATGGAGTCACCCGAGATACCGACGTTCTGGTCCATTGTAAACTCGGGGTTGTCGTCAATGTGACGTTTCTTGGGCGCTCGCGACATGACCTCTACAGCACCGCGGCTGGACATGGACGGGTTGTACAAGACGTGCGTCTCGGCGTTCGCTGAGCCTGTGACAATCTGGTTAATCTTGGGGTGCCAATCCACAGCAATCAAGGCTGATCCTGGCGTTATCGGAGTGACATGTTCTGGCTGCAGATTGCCAGGGTTGAGGATGTGGAGATGGCCCGTGGCCGAGCCGGTGATGATGCTGGTGGAGTTTGGTGAGTATCGAATATTGCTCGTGGGGTAAATGTCTGAGGTGGACAAGTGCGACACCGTGACAAGAGGCTTGTCAAACTTTCGAGTGTCCCAAAGCTTAATGAGATCGTCACCGCCCCTCGTAACAACCATGCGGCCATCAGAGGAAATGTCAATACCGCTTGTCCACGTCTGGGGCTTGTGTGCTTCTCTGATCTCGCCGGCAGGCCGGGTAAATGGCCCGTTACCGCCATACATGACCAGCGATCCATCCAGAGCAGCGCCGATTAGCACATTGCTTCCCTGGGCAGAGGCCTTCCACGCGACGGCAGTCATTTTAGTCCGGCCAGCTGAGCCCGCGGCCTTTGATTTGAAGACTATGACATCTTTTTGTGAACGCTTGTTGTTAATGTCCCATATTCGTAGGGTGCTGTCAGTCCCTGCCGTGACACAGAGATTCTTGTCGGTAGGATGCCAAGTGCCGGTGGTGATTTCGGAGATGTGGCCCTTGGTGTTGTGCATATCCCGTAGGTACATATCACCCTTGACAAATTCTGTCAAGATATCTCCATCTCGTGATATTATTCTTGCCTGTGGGTGGGCGCATACACAAAGCAATGCGCCGCCCGCCAACGGGTTGAATTCAACAAGGTGAACTGGATGGGCCTCGGCACTGGCAGCTGTTCTCTTAGATACAAACGGGTCGATACTGCGGAATGCGCGAAGCGTTGTCGGCGTCATCGACGCGAAATCGTGGAGCTTGACGGTACAGTCTAGAGAAGCAGAAGCTAATCTCCCACCTGCAGGGTCTAGAGACACGGTGGTGACGGCGCGTTCTTGAGTCTTGAGGACAAGCTCATGCGATACTGGGAATTCATCCTCGTCATCGGATTCATCCGAATCATCGCTATCGTCGTCGTCGTCGCTTGAACCACCCTTATTTTTGGATTGCTGTATCTGTTTCCCATGTCCATCTGTGCCACTTGCTGCCGAAGTCGTGTCCACTTTTCTGCGGCTCCGTTCGATTTGGGCTGCGATGTCCGCCTCTTTTGACTTCTTTCCGAACGAGGTAGGAAGAAACGCCCTCATGGGATCATCCTCAGCCAGCTCCGGGGCCTCGATTTCGTACTCGTCGTCGCTGGCCATGCTGAAAACTCGGAATGTCAAGATAAGAGAGGACAGCAAAGCCGCTTGCGACGGAAGAAAGCAATCTTGGAAGAGGAAAGGGAAGAAAAGAGACGCGAATTGAGAGTGGCAAGTGGAATATAGCAGTGTAGCAGTGAAGTGAGGACGTCCGATGGCTTTAAATGTGTTTGCTTTGAGGTAGGGATTGGGTTCTATGATCTGGCTGACTCAGCTAAACTTGTCTTGTGAAAGAAAAAGCCCAACTCAAAGATATTGTGCAGCAAAGGCTTCGCATGTGGTCGTACCAGCTGTTATTGTTTTGCTGAAAATTAATTATACATTGAAGTCACGCTGTATGCCAATTAGATACTACCAATGAGCCATAATTGAATCATTTGTTCAGCTCATTTGGTGAGCTATAGGTTAGTACCTCGATTAGTTCGGGCAAATCGCAGTACGTCATTGGTTCCACACCGAAGAGAAGGTTCACCGAAATCCGATCTCTGGCGCGTGCCTGCGCGATCGCTTTTCAATCCCCCTCCATTCGACCTCCAGGAACAACACAATGCCGCCGGAGCGCAGTATCGACGAAGATGAAGAGTACGAATCCTCCCAGGATTCCGACTTCGCGCCGGATGACGCGCCCGAAGCAGCGTCTGGTTCCTCAGATTCTGAAGAAGAAGCCGATGGAGCTGCTGGAAAGCGTCGACGGCCGGCGAAGGACGTGAAGACCGACGGAGAAGGGAACTATGATAATTCAGGCGACGAAGCGATAATTGAAAAGGGTCGGAAACGGCAGAAAAGAGCCAAGGCCAAGGGCGAATCCATAGATGACGAAGGCGGCGAGGGCGGCTTAATCAAGACAAGGAGACAACGTGCAGCAGAGTATGCTCCAACCCCACTACGAGTACGATTTGGTATACTGGACATAACTAATAGCCGTATAGAAAAGAAGAGCGCCAGTATGCTGCGAACAGAGGGCCTGTGACGGTAGATATCGATGCTATTTGGGCAGAGATGTTGGCGGGAGGCACCCCGGCCGCTGAACAGCAGAACAACGAAGAAGGCAAGCTAGTCAACGGGAATGAAACTGCAGCCACAAACGAGAATCCCGATTCAAAACAAGATGAATCTGCTATGATTCGCATCAAGCGCACATACAATTTTGCCGGTCGAGTCCACACCGAAGAGAAGCTCGTGGCCCGCGACTCGGCCGAAGCCAAGCTCTACCTCGCTTCGCAAGGCGAAGATGCCTTACCGGATTCACTCCCGATCAACAGACTGACCAAAAAAGCGTTCCGATCAGCTTTTGAGCCCATAGCAGAAGGCATGACCAACCGCTCAGATCTAAACCTTGGGCTAGCGGCCAGGATGAAGGCGGCCAATGAAGCACAAGCGAAGAAGCTCAACACAGTGGAGAAGAGTCGCATGGATTGGGCCGGATTCGTGGACAAGGAGGGCATCAAAGACGAGCTGGCGCTGGCTGGCAAGTCCAAGGATTCCTATGCCTCGCGGCAAGACTTTTTGGCACGGAGCGAGGCCATGCGGGAGGGCGAAGCAAGAAAGGCGAGGGTGGCGGCGCGAGTGTAGGCTGGCTAGAGACATTGGCGTTTGGGATGATACCACGACTTGGGTTTAGGTTTAATGTGTACAATGGCGATTCGTGTATTTACATGTTGGGATAGAAATGGCATACACATCATGACGGGTCTATTACTGCTAGTCTAGCTCGAACACCCTCTTCAGATTAATGTCCTAGGCCCATCCATTACAGCGATCTTTTGTTGAACTGAATTATATTCATATTTTGCAAAATTATACCATACACATTACTCTCATTATCATCAATTAAAGATGTTTCTTTTACTCCTAATATTTAACATTTTTCGTAGTGGAGGTTGGTTCAAACTTTTTTTCAGTATCCTACATATTGGCTAATATGCTTCTCTCCAATCATCAGCAAATCAGGCTTAGGTCGAGTCGTATAACGGTTAGTACAGTCGCTTCACATCTTCGAAAGAAAATGCGGAGCGCGCGACAGACCCGGGTTCGACTCCCGGCTCGACTACGCGATTGCTTTTTGCATTTTTGTCGGTTGAATTGGTGACTTGATGCTGCTCTTGCAGTAGGATGGGTGCATACTGGGTTTTGCTTTTGTGTGCATTGCTCAGTTGCTTTTACGTTGGATTTCATGACCCCTCCTCAGAATAGGGTAGACAGGTTAACATATCAAACTTCAGTGTTCGTCACTAGCAGTACGAAGTATATGATGCAATGTGCTATATTGTCCTTCGGAGACTCGTCTATCAGTACCTATGTATAGAAATCATCTAATAAATAGCAGATATTTGATTTGTGACTTCTATCTCAGCTCTACCGAGTCTTGTGATACCTGAAAGTTGCTATACTTAAAGTTTGCCTCAGCGGCCATACATTTCTAATTATAATTCTAGAACGCACCACAGTTGACACAGCATCGGCCTGCCCGCTGCAAACACTGCATCTGGGTAAACGAGACACATCGATCATCCATGTATCACGACTTAATTGCTAACGTTGTGCTGCCTGCCTGGCTAGTTTGCCTCGTATGCAACAAACCTCGTCTCACTCTTCCATCGCTAATGAACCAGACGTTGACGGCATGACATGACCTCAGCCTCTAGTCTTCATCTCATTCAACATAACCAAAGATTAGATTCAGATATGTTATATCATAAGTTGCAAGAAGATATAACCGCTTGTATCGAATTGCGAGAGTCTCAGTATTGCTATTACTACCTGCTTAAATGACGTATTCCAGATTCGATGCTAAGTGCTATATGTGTGTCTTGAAGAATGAAACGTGCTACTCAGCATCTCCTTCCCGGAAATCACCAGACACAAGATGGTCATTCCTTTCCATCTAAACAGCGTAACCGCCCTTCCAGATACCCGAGTGCTCGGTTGATCGACTAGAAAAAGGCCGGCGAGGGACGCAAACCGAGCCATAGCCATGACATCTTCACATCTCCTACAACCACCACAAACATCATCACCATCATACCTATCTTGATACCTCATAGCACTTACTCCTACAACACTCAGCACAATGTCCTGCATATCAACAACAATTCTCCTCCTCCTCACCACCCTCGCTTCTTCCATCCTCGCCCGCCCTCCAGACATTACCTTCCTCTGCAACGAAATGCCCGAAATCTGCACCAACATGTGCTGGGCCGTCCGCTGCGCCCAACCCTCATTTCCCCAAACATTCTCTCTCGGCCTCACCCCCTACGGATACGGCTCCTCCAACAAAACCAAAACGTCAATCTCCGCCAGCTGCCGCGTCAACGAGCTTTGCGGCACCCAAGGCTTCAACAAAACAGGCCATCGCGGCCTTCCGTACTGCGCCTGCAACGCGTACCCTCTGTCCGTCACCTCCGAAGGCGCTGCATTCCATCCGCTTCCTCAGCCTCATCGTGTCTCGAGATGTGTGCCTGAAGAGGAGCAGTGCCTACAGCGCAGCCAGCTGGAGCTCTTCGCGAAGCGGATGCAGCAACGCAGTGATCAGCAACGCATGCGTCAGCTGTCCATCAACTTTGGCAATCCAGGCGGCATCAAGTACTGCAACAACGACCCCTGTGTCAATGACGGATTCGAGGTCCAGGATGGCCGCGTCTGGAGAAAGAGTCGACGCTCTGAGGAGCGCATGTTTACCTACTACAAGACAAAGTCTGGCATCATCGTCGCCTCGCTTGAAGATGTGGATATGCCGTCGCCGATTATACGCCGTGTGGGGAGTGGTGAACCGGTTCCTCCTAGATTCAGGACTTGGTTTGAACAGGCTCATGAGGAGACGGTGCACATGATGGAGGATACCATCGTCCAGCGACTGTCGGATCAATCAGTTGGTGCTCATCCAGTGGTTGAGTAGACTGTAGGAGAGTTAGTATGGCATCACGTTAGGGGGTAAAGCTTCAGAATAGGGGCAAGGGGAAAGAAAATCATGATTCCTATGTTGCATGCTAAATTCGTGGCGACTTAAAGTATCAGTGCTTCCAATGACCGTCCCGGGGTATCTCAGCTTTCCTAGCAATTGTTCAAAACGCCCATATCCATAAGCAATGCTTTCAAGCCAAATGTCCATCTTCCTGTCCATGCCGCCAAGTGATAGCAGCTACTTGATATGTACCTCCAACGTGTCCATGTCGTCGATACCAGCGTCCTCCATGGTTTGATGCTCCTCCAGTCTCTCGCCATCAAACCAAATGCCCACATCCTTGTCTGATCCAATACTTCTCTGGGTTCGGAATCCAATTATGAGCGTCTCGACTGTAGTTTCTTGCAGCACACCCAGCTTGACCACCTCCATGTCTTTGGCGACGAGCTTGATGCGTAATTTGGCCCGCTTGTCCTCTTGCTCCTGCGTCGGCTCTTCCTCCGATAACTCACCAGCCTCTCTCTTGATACGCATCTCCTCCTCAAGCTCCCACTGGCGGAAACTTTCCACGGTCCATGCTTCCAAAACGACCTTTGTACGCTCGTCCTGTAGACCCCCTTTGCTGTATTCGTTGGCGATGATTTTGCCGTCGCCTTGCGGCCTGATTCCCAGTCCAAGCAGGGAAGAATAATTGTACACCTTCTTCCTCTGCCAGGTTAAGATAATGTCGTCGTCTGTGTTGATTGGTAGCTGTACGCCCTTCCTACGTTGAAGCGCAATCCAACTATCCCGTATCAAGCGAAGCTGTCTGTTAAACTGGTATTTTATATGGGCGACTTTGGTGTTGGGAATATTGGACCTGACCATGATGTCGGCTGCAGCGTCCTTCTTTGCGGTTCTCTCGGAATCCATTTGCATGGTGTCCTTGTCGCGGGCGCGCTGCTCTTCGGCCTTGCGAACGTACTCGCTGAATTCATCGTCATCTTCTTCCACCTCTGCTGTCGTCTGAGTTTCTGGAACAACTTCAAGAGGCTGTGCGCCGATGATACCCGAACCAACGAACTCGACGCTATCGTCCCGTTGGTACGACATATCAGGCCCAGTGGTACGGTCGTTCTCGTCACCGGAGTCGAAGCCATCCTTAGAGGCAGACTCAGAGTCGGAGGCAGATTCAGAATCAATTGAGACTAGCGGCGCACTACTCGGCGTCACAGACTCTTTCCTAGGGCGTTTGCTCGGTGTGTGTATCTTGGAATTTGACCGTATTGACCGCTGCGATGGGGAATCGTTAAAGGGATCATCCAAAGATTCTGCGGCTGACCGGCGTCGTTTGGCTGACCTCGAGCCCTGGCCAGAGTCAACTCTCGAGTGCTTCGAAGGAGGAGGAGTAGCAAGCTCTCTGCTGTTGCAACGTTAGCATGGCCAACGGTATGGCTTGAAAACCAGTGGCAGCAAGGCTTACCTGAAGCCGTCTCCATCCGGCGGTAAAGAGTCGTCTACAGGAGTCGCCTGAACTTCCTCGATCGCACCCGAGTGCTCGTCGGGAGCGTGTGAAGCCTCTTCCTTGTCGGAATCCAAGAGCTGCTTGTCTGCGATATCCGAGAGGCGCCGCTCTTCCTCCGCCTGCTTTTGCTTCCACTTGTTAAGCTTCCTCTCTCTGTCGGCGGCCACGATGGGTGCCATTTCCCTGGACTGGCGGAACAGATCCAGGTCATCGTCACCATTGCTTTCGCTTCGTTTGCTCTCCTCTACGGAGACGGTAGGTTGTGATAGTGGCGCCACATTGCGCAAAGCCGTCGGCTTAAATGGAAGCTTCTTCTTCCTGACCGGTGCGGCAGCGACCTCATCACTCATGGTGGGGAGTTGCTGAAAACCAGATAAAGCTTGAGATAGAAAAATGAAAAGATCAGCAACGAAATGAAGCCGGCAAAAATTAATCGCCGAAACGGCGCAAGAAGATGGATTTGGGGGGAGCTAGCTCTGGAGCTCCTCTGACGATATATCCAATGGATATTCCGCCCTATAAATAGTGTTGTTGCGACAGTGTGATGCGCGCAAGAGGAACGTTGTTTACAGCGCTCGATTGAGGTTTCGGGGCTTTGTTAGGAGAAATCACGGGCGCGTGCACCGCTAACTGGCCCCCGCCGTATAGCGCATTCAGAGTGCTAGAAAGGTACCTGCAAGCCGCTACTCGACGTCACAGTGCGAGCCGTGCCACACTTGAGCTTTCAGCCACGATCTGAAAACAGGGTACCTTGAGTGTACAATTTCAATCTTATCAAGCTCGCCTCTAAACTTCCCCACGACAAAAGCTATTGGCAGCAACCCTCGACCACAGCAACCATGGAGAACGGCGGCATCTCACAAGCTGAGGGCAAGGACCCTTCCAGCTTCCTCAGCGACATCATCGGCAACTCTGTCGTCGTCAAGCTCAACTCGGGCGTCGTCTACAAGGGTAAGTTTGGGCGCAATTAGGCAGATTGGCTCACTTCCAACCTCAAACGAGTAGCTGCCGTGATCTGACTCTTGGGGGGGATTATGGTGTATAGGAGAACTACAATCTGTGGATGGATACATGAATATTGCGCTGGAGAAGACGGCGGAATACGTCAATGGTGTCAAGCGGAGAGAGTATGGAGATACCTTTGTGCGAGGCAACAACGGTGAGTGAAGCGTCTTTGTTCTTGATGGTGCAGCCTATGAATGAAGCCAGCTAACTTTGGACCAGTCATGTATATTTCAGCAGACTCATAATCACGCGGAGGATAATTTCAATGAATTCACAGCTACTTAATACTATGCCCCCTTTCGTTTTATGAATATGATATACGATGATTCTATGGATACAAAGAGATATCCTGCTCACAGCTTCTTACTCCATGCCACCAGAGTCCTTCCATGTACGGCCACCTCGCCCTTTTCATTGATCTCGACATCGCTCTCGTTCAGCTCCTCATCAAACGCCGCCTTGAACGCAGCCTTGTCCTCGCCCTCCAAGGTAAACACATGGCTCAGCGTATTGACCCGGTTCCACACCGCACTCTTTTCCAGCCAAACCGTCCACGGGAGCTTCTCCTCCCCAATCGGCGTCGAGAACAAGGGCTTCGCAAACTTGGCCTGGCGGTCAAACACCTGCGGCCACTCGTTGTTGCGGAACCTCGGCGGGCCGAAGTCGGGCAGCGTGAAGATGCGGGCGTTGAGTGCGTCTTCCCACTTGCTGCCCGCGGGCCACGATCTTGGCTTGTTGTCTGTGCAGGTGTTCATGTTGTCAGCCCCCTTCCAAGAGAAACTAGGTAGTAAGCGTGAAGCAAATGTCCTTACAATCTTCAATGTTCCAGATCAAACCCAGTGAGCCTCCTGGTTTCAGAACTCGATGGATCTCTGCCAGCGCAACTTCATTCGCAAACCTGTTGTTTTATTCACGACCAATCAGTTTCAAACAGGCAGTCCATCTCCTTTCACAAACGTACCAGTGAAACGCCTGGGCTACCACAATTCCATCTGCCCATCCATCCTCAACATCCATCTTCTCCGCAGTCCCCTCCTTCACCTCGACTCCCCTCAACTTCTTCTCAGCCAACGTCTCCCTCATCGACGCCGTCGGCTCCACCGCCAGGATCTCATATTCCTCTGGCCGCGCCGACAACAGCTCGGTGGACTTGCCCGTACCAGCTGCCAAATCGATGATCCTGGCCTTGGACTTGCCCGCCAGGCCAAGATGGGTCAAGAGGCTTTGGACTGCCTCAGATGGATACGACGGTCGGTGCGTGTCGTAGGCCTTGGCGTCCTTGAAGCCGTCCGACGAGGCCTGGAGATACTCTGCAGAAGCCATTTTTCAGGATAGTTATTAGTATTTACAAAATATTCTGAGTGTTGGGATGTAACATCTAACTCTTTACGGGCTCCTAGCTAATTATATAGATGGTCATCTCGACATTTCGAATGCTTATAGCCTCATACTGGTGCGGAGGTCCGACAACAATTCCGTGCTTATTCCCGAGCCGATGAACGGCCCCGAGTAACCAAGTGCCGACTATCCAGGATGATCTCAACGACGGATTACGTCTTTACGTACTATATAGACTGTAATGAGGATATTAATAGTAAAGCTTGTATGAGAATTTCCTTTTATTTCGTCTTTTTTGTTTGATAGCTCGACTATTTGCAAATGACCTGCATGGCAAAATCCTCTAGTCATCATCCTTGTCTTGTTCCACATAAACTCATAAACGGCGTCCAAAACATTAAGTCATTATAAACACGAAAATCATGGCCCAGCCAAGAATCTCTACCATCATTCTCTCCCATTCGTTAATTTCGTACTTGCGTATAAAAGGCTGGTTTTTTCTGCAGCCTAGAGGGGCCTGGTTTTGCTCGTCGGCCCGCTGCTTCAGAACTGTCTGCATCAGAGCTACTGTATCCATGGTCCCAAGCGGCGGACGGAGGGGCATCGTATAATTCGTTTGTTCCAGTTCTAGATAGATCAGAGTAGTACTCTATAGCTCCGCTGAGCATTGGCTTCGAGCTGGCGTAAGAGCTTCTCGAGTGGGGAATCACAATGTCGCCGCCCATGGAAGACGAAGCCATGCTGCTTCGGTTGGCCGAAGAGTTGCGAGAAGCCATTTGACGAGCAATGCTTTTGCGTTGAGCTTCAATCGACCCTCTGGAGGTGTCCATATCCACTGGCTGCCGGTGTCGTGACTGTCGAGTATCGTTTGAATCGGCATATTTGTTTCGTGGAGGTGTCGAGGAGCTTGATGTAGGTGTAGTTTCGCGTGATGAGGACGGCATGCCAGTCTCTGTGACATCCACTGGAATATAGTGCGCCTTGCCCTTGCCCTTCCTTTTGGATTTTCCTCTTGGATCTGTCGAGTCGCTAATAAGAGTGGGAGAGCCGGTGACATGGCTGGCATCAGGCGTGTTAGGCCTTGATATCCAGATGCCTTCGACCTGGATACCCTTTTGTATTGCGCGCACTCCAAAGGGGATATCGTTGATGCCGCGTGCGTTGATACCGCAGTACCGCATCTCTGCCAGCCGTACTCGTCGTTCTTCGTCTATCAATTCGAGTCTCGCAATTTTACGGTTGGTCCACCAAAGTCTTACAAGCCCAAAGGCAAAGACTAACACTATGCAGCATGCCAAAACCTGCATCAAGGTCAGGTAAACCGACAAAACAGCCGAGAGATACAGAAGGATTGACTTGAAAGGGCGACTTACAAATGTCATTTCCTCCCATAACTGCCACCCAATGAAGAAAGCACCCATGTCGACGGAGGCTCCTGGAGTTCTTAGCCTACAAGACCGGTTTGTATCAGTGGACGAGTTGGAAGAGGCAAGGATCTGAGATCCGCAGGCTCTTCTCTGTTGTTAAGTATTTTCCGAATCCCAAAAACAACACCCTTTCCAGCAAGAAAGTCGAGTGAGAGAGAGAAAAAAAGAAGTAGAAGAAACGAAAGTGCGCAAAGGTCCGAAGGTGGCTCGAGTGTAATCCACGTGGCGGTGGTGAGACCAAAAGCTTTTACCAGAGGAGGAGCGACACACACAGCGGACCTGGAAGAAGAAAACGAAAGGACGAATTGGCGCGGGAAAATGGGAATAAGCGAGTGACACTTTGTGATTTGTACAGTTGTAGTAGCGGCGTCGAAACATATAAGAAAGCGGAAAAGATGATCGGGATGCCGCGCCCTTGAAGGTGTTGTTTTGTGTGTCCGGCACTCTTTCGGCGCCCCAGCCAGTCAGGCGAGCATGTGTGCAGCGGGATAGGATGCCGGGATCTTACATATTTCCTGTGGGTAAGAAAGATGCAAGGGATGGATGATAGGTTGGAGACAAAAGATGGGTTCACAACAACATGCAACTACGTGGATGGGCCTTGACTCGACACGGGAGGTGACTTGTGGTTGGACGCAAAGCTTGGCCCGCAGACATGCAGCTTATGCCGCCTGCGACCTCGTATGTGTGCCGCTTGTTGGCAGGTGTTTGTCGATCTAAAAAAAAGGTAACATAAAAAAAAGACAATTAAGAAGAGGGGGACAGGCGCCGATCGGACCGACGAACAAGGGGTGGAAGTGCATTCAGCTGGGAAATCCCGGGGGGAGAAGGACATCAGGGATTCTGATGCGGAGAGGAGGCTTTTGGCTGCGGTGAATCGAAAGGACTTTGCCTCACCGGTTTTGTGGTCCCTTGCAGAGGGGGCTGAGAAGAGAGAGACGTTGTTATGTTGTGAGGAAAAGGGGCCATGGTCACACAAGAGATTTTACATTTGGTGATGTGGCTGCATAACCTCGAGTTGTATTGGCCAAATGCTCGGGTTGACATCTGCAAGCCTCAGGCGATGATGATATCTTTTTCTTGTTTGGGACTGGTAAGGACCCAGCGACAATGTCTCGGATATCAAAGTGTGTCCGTTTGTGCAGACAAAAGTACGTAAGTAAGCATTCATCCCGACAACTGTATGTGTCGTGTTGAATTATATGGACCGGGAGGTAATAGACAGTATATGGAACTGAATATAGATCTATTTCGATGGTTCATGTAGTTGACTGCATGTCCTAATTGGGCGGATGGCTTGGATTCACGCTGCGTGGCGCCAGGCAGCTTAACCAAGTTGACATCTAGCGGCAGATGACACTTTTTTGCTAGTTATACCATTAACTGTAGAAATTCTCTTGGAAAAGCAGTCAGTGTTTTGCAAGCTTCTTTGTTCAATTTAAGTGGTATCAATCTCAGACAATCCCTAAGCAGCGAATTAACATCATCTTCATAGCCAACGCCATAGCCACTACTTGAGCAACATTCAGTTAGGGAAACACCAGCCTATGCCCCTCAAAGGCCCAAAAGACAAAAGAATCATTGGGCCAGCACTATCATCAACTTTCCAATCGTACGTGAGATTCGCCATGCACAATACCAACGGAATGAACTTGGCATCGTCCCTCGTTCCGGTGCGGGTGTATAGCTCGTCTCGAAGTAGTTCAGTTATATTAGGCTTCCCACCAATATTCCCCTTGATGCTGACCCCATCAATATACCCTTCTGGTATGCGGACCTCGGTATTCAAGCCATCGAGATGGAGAGCAGCGTCCTTGATATCCCCATTGCAGTGAAAGATGGCCAAAATCCTGTAGCTGTCGGCGGGTATCCCCCCGTGGACTAGAACCTCATTTTGAAACCAATGAAGGTTACCAAGGTTTAAATCTCGAGCAATCCGCCGAGCATCGTAGACCAAAAGCAACCCATCCAACCAAACGGCAACAATAATAACTTCCCTGGCCCCGTTATTTATCAACCAATGTTGTCTCCGTAGAGCTGCGTTCCAGCTGGTAAAGAACGAAATGAAGGGCCCCTCTCGCTGTCTCCATTGGAGGTGATCGCTACATGCTTGAGCGTCGCCAGCGCGCCAAGGATTGCGTGCTACCATGTTTCCATCATCGAAGGTGCAGTTTCGGTATCGATGATATTCGTCGTGCACTTCAACGCGAAACCCGATGTCTGGTTGGCAACAATAAGTTTGTAGGTCGAAAGCCATGTTTTACGCATTTACGCCTACAACGTAAGGTAAAGCAACAGAAGGACGACAGTGTTGCTGATAACATATCGTCTATCCATACGCCAGCTATTCCCAACGCTCGTGGATTGGGCAGCATTGTGGCTGGCCAACAAATCCTCCCAGGCAGCTTTTCTGTGCTGAATTGATCAATACGGTGCCCTGTACGTGTGTGCTACCATTATTCACAGGCTGTCAGGCACCGATATCTAGTGGCGTTTTGCCCAGACCATGCAAGCAACGTATGATGGCCGACCAAAGCGGCAGCGTCAAGCGGCCGTTCCCATTGATCAGCCTATTCTGGATGGCGCCCATGCTTTTTCGGTATGGGCAATGGAAAAAGGTTCAATGAAAAAGGTTCAAAGGGAAGCTGTTTGCCACCGGAGATCTACAATCTCTTCGCTCTAGTGCTGTTTACAGCCATGAGTGTGTGTCCTGCATTGCCAGCTTCAGAGGTGCTTTTACTCGAGCATTCCCCAAGAAGACGGAAATCCCGGCTCAGCCATCGAAACAAGGTCTCCAGCAAACCCTTGCCCACAGCTCGGCCCCGGATTTTCAGTAACAAGCATGGCAGAGCGGGGAAGAGTCCATCACATTCACATTCGCAGATGTGACAAAGTGATAGTCTACATTTCTGGGAACAAGTCGACAAGCTCTTTGTGGGAGGGTGGCGATTTCTTGATGATGAACTGAGAAAAGAAGTGCTAGTTCAAGTGACATATTTTTTAGTTACTGCAAGGTGAGGTAATAATGAGGAAGAAAACCTGCCCAACTTGGTCTTGTTGGTGTTGGTTCAAAGGTAGGATTGTCCGAATGCCGCGGCTCAGGTGCCGGGCTACCTTAGTATCATCAACTAATACAGAAACAAATACGCACAATCGGTAACTAGTACGACATCCCGCACTGTCATGGATCGTCATGGCCCTGCGGATAAAATGTCTTTGCCGCTACTCGGATTCGGGAGAGTCGTTTCCGGGTATTTTCAGCAAGGCCGGGCGCGTGTCTTTTCCCTTCGTCTTGGCTGGTGGCTCCACCGTCCTTGGCTTCTTAAGTCTAGAAATGCCCACGGCACTTTAGGCGCTCACTCTGCAAAGCCGGTCCGATACGATGAGAGTGACGCTGCATGAAAATGCTACCTGGTACTGTACAATGTCAGAGGACTCAACGAGCGGGCACCGGCTGGGATCAAAGTGCCAAGGGAGCGGGTGAATGCATGAATGAGGGAAAGAAAGAAAGCCTTGGGCAGACAAAGAGAGCTGAGGCCAAGCTGCGAGGCGGTGCAAGCGCACAGCCAAAGAGCCAAGCCGAGGAAGCCAAGCCGTATAAGTGCAAAAGAGAGGTTGATCCAGCCGATAATACGCAGTACGAGTACGCGGATTGCAGACAGTGTGGAATCGAATCCAGCGAATCTCACTGATGCGCTCCGTGGGCAAAATGCGTTGCGGTCGGCAAGGCGCCGCCGAGAGGATGCGCAGATCTGATGTTTGCTGGGCTGACCTGGTAATGGAATCATCCATCTCTCCACGCTCTCTCTTTTGGGAGTCCATGTACATTAGACAGACTTATCATTGCCCTGCTAGGTAACTCAAGTACCTCAAGTACCTGAAGTATTTCGTCTGTACCAATACAACACCGCCCATTAAATCAGATCGCCGTCTTCGCCTCGTTCGATCCAGAAAATCCGCCCCAAAACTGAAGTCACCCATCGGGGATTGTTAGACGCCGTTCCCGCTCCATCGACTCGAAACTGCAAGCACTAGCAAAAAAGTGATGCTACGCAAAAACTGCCATCGGCCCCATTTGCAGGCCCTGATTCCCCCATATCCGGCCGCTGATCCGTTCTAGCCTGACATCTGACCATCATTCAGGTCATCCAAATGGCTTTTAAAGCTTGAAACCCCTTGTGCCCCTTCCCTGCTTTTTTTCGGCATGTACTCGTACCTTGGCTTTTGACTTTCCTCCACAGTCTAGACGAAGCCTTCCGCTTTTCGCATTGGATACCTATTAAAAGTCTCCGTTTCCCCCCATCAATTGATTGCCTTTCTCTTCACCTCGCCAAAACGATAGTTATTCCGCCGTCTGCGTATTCTTTGCCCGCATCTTCTCACAGCACCGGCGTATCGTGTCGTATCGTGTCGTGTTACCACCGGGCTGTATCATACCGTATCGCTTTAATACTACTTACTTAATTCCCGCCAACTCTCATCGTTCACCATGCCGATTCGAAATCCATTTACTCGCCGCCCGGGCACTCTGGTCACCGTCGAGGACAACGTTTACACCGACCAAGAGCGCATTTCTCCCGGCTTTGAGCGAGTCGACACCGTTGGATCCAAGGCGTCGTCGGCTCTCAGCATCCGCAGCGCCAGAAGTCAGGATACCGGCGAGTATAAGATGAGTGGTATGTCGTGGGGTGACCGCCTTCCCTTGTATCCCTGCCCTGTAGCCCATGCCAGAGGCAGAGCGTCACACGACCGGCTGGCTAACTGCCCTTTCTGAATTGCAGTCGTCAATGACAGCGGCGTATATCTCCCTGTAAGTTTGCATAGCCCCGTCGTTTTGCCTTGTGCACCAGTCGCTGATTGTCGATGCGAACAGCCCTCACCGTCGGAGGAGAAGGGCCACTGGCCGCGCAGATATCTCTCGTCGCGAGAATCGTCAGACAGCTCTGGCGAGATTGAGCAATTTTCTATTTCTCGAGAGTCATTTGACTCGTACCGACGCTCATTTGTATGTTGTTCTTTTCCGTTGTACTGGCTTGCTTTCATTCTCTCGGGCACGGCGTCAACCCCGCCTCCGAAGCGACTCGCCTGAACCGGAGACTAACAAGGGCCGTCACCCAGGATATCTCGGCACGATCTCCCATTTCTGCGTACGACGTTCCCGCTCGCATGAGTCTCGACTCAGCTCGATTCGCTCGAATGCCTAGGTCGGCAATCAACCGCAACATAGAGCAACTGCCTACTGCCGAGGAGAACTTTGAAGACGTCGGACTCGAGGACCAGAAGCAGCCGCCCCGCAAACGAGGCTTCTTCTCCAAACTGACAGAGACCCAAGAGAAGGACTCTACGGCTCAGACAGGAGTCTCGAGGTTCCTCATGCCCGGTCGGAAGAGGGCTCAAAGTGGCCAAGGGGCCGAGTTAGCAGCAATGGACCAGCCGACGGTGACTTCATCAAACTGAGAGGTGCCTACCACGGGAAGCAACGACGACAACGACTCTGCAACTTGAAATAATTTATCGTACATACCTTTTCAAAAGTGTATCAGGCGCCCATGTTTTTTTTTCTGGACTATGGATATGTTTTATTTCTGCAACGACGGCGTTTGGGACGATGTAGACGGTGGACGCACATTTGCCGCCGTCACACCTTGCAAGGACAACTGTATAATCGGGAGTTTGTATTTCGCATCCAACGATGCTTGCCGTTACGCCCACGATTCAAGGGCTGGCAGACTCGGGGGGTTTATGAAGGCGAGGGAATATTCAAGCAAGGAAAAGCAAGACGACTTAATGATAATCACTTATGTCGGCGATCACATGCTTGATCGCTAATACAGCACATCTTACGTTTGATATGTTCGTGCCACCGTCATCATGTCGACTTTTCTTATCTGATAGAGTTCATTCGTTCTGAATAAGCCCTAGGGTCGTGATGCATTGAACGAGGCATAAAGTCTGTGGTCCTACCAACTACTAATCACGAGCGAATTATCAAGACTTGGTGATGTAGAAGGCGTGATGGTGCAACCCCCCGCGTGGTTGAATTTCTAATCTTGTCTCTCCATTTCTCATGATGCTTCAATCATTTCTCTTTTTTGTTACCCGATTCGTTTGGCCCTTTGAGCACCACTTGATGGCTACAACCAGAGACTACGGAAGCTGTAACTCCTCGGAGCAATTGCCTCTGAGCGGAAATCTGCGGCATACCCATACTTGTATATATGAATGCAAGAGCAGAGCATTTGACAAGAGGGCGTGCTTGTCGGGTAATTACGCCGTAGTGTGGTGGAGTATGAATATTAATGTGACACGCAAACGCCCTGTGTTGACATTTTCTTTCTCCTAACATGCAGCTTTTCTGCTGCAAAAAATTGGGTTTCTGCTAAAAAGCGATAAGATAGATTGACGTGATCAAGCTGGAACCAGCGGGATATACTCCATAGTGGGTAATTGGACGCTGGATATACTCTGTAGTGGGTAATTGAACGCTTGAGTAATACAGCGACAACGGCGTTGAAGCGGGGCAAGAGAGTTGCGGATAGGGATATAAAGGCTAATGGACGGAGCTGCTTTTATCGAGTAGAAGGTTTGTTGAAGATGGGCAGTGATGCTTTGGTTTAATCTGATCTAATCAGCTTACTTAAATTTGAATTTGAATTTGAATTGATTTGTGTTGAGTTGAAACATCAGGTGTGTAATGGACATACATTGACACTGAATACACTCACATATGACGACTTAATTGTACTAACAAACTTCACCCATACACAAGCACAAGCACAAGGACACACAAACACAAACCACAAACCGCAGTCAATCACAATGGGCAACGCCTCAGACGAATACGTGCCCGACATTGCGGCGCTGTCGCTCGCCTCCAAGGCGGTGCACGCTGATGCTCGCATCGACGGTCATCCGGCCATTGCGCCCGGCCTGCACACCAGCACCACCTTTCGGTATCCCAACGATCCCGAGAGGCTGAAGCCCATTGCAGAGGTCGATGTAAGTGATCAATGAAGATGAAAGATTCAGCAAGTAACAGGAAGCTTCTGATACTGACATAAACACCATACAGACAACTAAGCCTCTCGACTTCCACATCTACTCGCGTCACACCAGCCCCAACATGGCTCGCTTTGAAGCCATCTTGACGTCCATTCTGGGCCAGCAGGCCATCACCTACGGATCCGGGCTGGCTTCCTTCCACGCCATGATCACCCACATCAACCCCAAGCGCGTTGCCATTGGAGACGGCTACCACGGCTGCCACGGCATTCTCAAGATCTTTGAGCGCCTCAACGGCCTCAAGTCGCTGCCGCTGGATTGTGACCTCTCGGAGCTGGGACCCGGCGATATCATCCACGTCGAGACGCCCCTGAACCCCACGGGCGAGGCGCGCGACCTCAAATACTATGCCGACAGGGCGCACAGCGTAGGAGCGTATCTGACTGTCGATGCGACGTTTGCGCCGCCTCCCCTGCTGGATCCGTTCGCCTGGGGCGCGGACATTGTGATGCACAGCGGCACAAAGTACATTGGAGGACACTCGGACATGCTGTGCGGCGTCCTGGCAGTCAACCCCAAGCATGAGACGTGGGTGAGCGACCTGCTCGCCGACAGATTGCTCCTGGGCTCCGTGATTGGCAGTCTCGAGGGCTGGCTGGGCATGCGATCGCTACGAACCCTGGAGCTGCGCGTCAACCGACAGAGCGCCACGGCCACGGCGCTGGTATCGTGGCTGGCGGAACAGGCCAAGGACGACAAGACGGCCGCCGGCAAGACGATTGAGAGGATCCAGCACGCCAGCCTGCAGCCTGAGGCTGCACAGGAGGGGAGCTGGCTGCGGCAGCAGATGCCCAACGGCTACGGGCCCGTCTTCGCCATCACGCTGAAGAACAAGGAGCTGGCTAAGAGGCTTCCGGGGAAGCTGGGACTGTTCCAGCACGCGACGAGCTTGGGAGGCGTGGAGAGTCTGGTTGAGTGGCGGGCCATGACGGATAGGACGGTGGATCAGAGGCTGTTGAGGGTGAGCGTTGGAGTGGAAAGTTTGGAGGACTTGAAGGCGGATCTGCAGCAGGGACTGGAGGCGTTGCTGAAGGAAGGGCTTGCTTGATTGTTTGATAGCTAGATTGTATGATGGTTAAAAGTGAGGAGAGTAAGAAGGGAGATGATGAGTGAACCCCTGGCTGGGCACCAAAGCAGATCAAGTCAGTGATGAGCTTTTGACGGTATTTGCAATTGGATACACATATGAATGTATAAGAAGAATGAATTGAATCAAAAGAATGAATTGGAGATTGTCAACCTACACAATTGCATTCTATTAAAACATTGTAAAGCATATATGTTTTTCTCTATGTAAGGGGGTTGTAAAGTGTTGAAGTGATCAATGCACGGGTACCGTAGCATGGAGATCTAATGTCCAAGCGACTGGGCATCGAAAATCAATTACAGGGTCCCCCCCCCCAATCAAACCCCCTGGCACCGCTATCCGATAACTTAACTTGCACGCTCTCCTAGCCCCTGGCTAAACAGGACCGCGAAAGCCTCAATTACCCCAAAAACCCTTTCCCTTTCCCGCCACTAAGGCGGTCTCTTTTCGACCGAAGAGGAAAAAAAAAGGCCTCCCTTTTCTTCCAATTGCTGCCAAATTTTAATTGTATTAATCACCCATTGACGCATCGACGACTACGAGAATTTTACACCAGAGAGGAAACGAAAAAGGCCATATATCAAAAAGAAACCCAGAGAGAGAGAGCATGCGAGCAGCAGGCGGCATCCCCGTCTCCTCACGCCGCCTCTCCTAACGAGGGCACAAGAATCGAATCTCGACCAACTTCTCCTCCATCCTCCTCCCGAAGATCCTTCGAACCCGGCCAATGCCGCGCCTCAACCTCTTCCGCCTGCCGACCACCCTCCGGCGCCGCGTCCGCCGCAACCGCCTGACGACGCAGATGCTCCTCCTGGCGCTGCTCGTGCTGCTCGCCCTGCCGCTCTACTCCGTCTACTGCGTCTACAAGCCGCCGCGCTTCCTCATCGGCTACCTGCGCAACAAGTTCCCCGACGTGCTCTTCGAAGAACCCACCACGGAGAAGATCATTGCGCTGTCGCTTGACGATGCTCCCTCGGCGCACACGGACGAGATTATGCAGGTGCTGCGCGAAAACGACGCCCACGCTACGTTTTTTGTTATCGGGCAGCAGGTTGAGGGTCGAGAGGCGATATTGAGGAAGTTGGTTGCGCAGGGCCATGAGCTGGGGAATCATGCTATGCGCGATGAGCCGTCTAGCAGTTTGAGCAACGACGAGCTCGAGAGGCAGGTCAAGGAGGTCAAGGCGCTGCTGACGACGGCGTACGAGGCAGAGGGCAAGATTTTGCCTAATAATTACTTCCGGCCTGGGTCTGGCTGGTTCAACCATCGCATGAGGGACCTGCTGGGCAATCGTGGCTTTCGTATCGTTCTGGGGAGCATATACCCTCACGACCCTCAGATTCCTTACCCTACGACTAATGCTAAGCATATTCTGAGTATGGCACATCCCGGAGGCATTATTATCTGTCACGATCGAAGAGGGTGGACGGCTCCGATGTTGCGGATTGTGCTGCCGGAACTGAAGCGGCAGGGATACAGAATCGTCACCATTACGGATCTTGTGACGTCGGTTGAGCCATTGGGAGGTCGATCATGGTGATTTTCTAATAAAGGAAGGATTGCAAATGGGAAACAAATTCACAAATACAATATGGAGGAGTCAATTTTTCTTCGTTTATACACACATTGATTGCTTTTTCTTCTGTTTGTCTTTCTTTTTTCGTGGCATTGGCGTGGGTCCGCATACAACACATTTACAAAGGGAAAAATACGGAGGGGCAAAGGTCAGGAATGAGAAGAGCATCGTTATACAAAGCCCCCGGCAGAAAGGGAGCGAGTACTGGAGTTGGGGACTCACGGGAGCGTTGGAAAGCTATTCGCAATAACATAAAGGAGGCGAAGGGGGGAACAAAAAAAAAAAAAAGGATATCAGATGACTATTTCTAGTGATCCATCTTCGCGCAGGAGCTGCGCGAGTTTATAGCGAGGGGACTTGAGTCTGTTTTCCAGAGAGGTTAGCTTATACCGTGTACTACTACGAATCCAAGATATCTAGTACTGCTAGGGTAATATCAAAAGGTCCCACGGTTCAGGGAATTGTGAGATACTTACGAGAATTCCAGTACGCCAGTGACTATACGTCTGTACCCGTTGACCAGCTCCTGTGCTACACTTTGAAGATTGTCGTCGTGCACGTACTGACCGATGAACTCCCCTGCTGCCTCGTCGAACTGCCGGACTGCGTCCTTGAACTTCTGGAGCAACTGCGCCATAACCTCGTCCAACGTCGTGTCCGGGGTAAGAAGCGTACATACGACGTTGATGGCGCAGCCCGAGTGAAGCTCTTTCTTGAGCGATAGCAGGTCGTTAACGACGCTTGCCAGCACACTGATCTGCTTCTGAAGAACGGGGACGAGCGGCGAGTTGAGCATTTCCGGCGGTACGTCCCGGTTCATGGCATAAGGAACCAGGGCGAGGAACGTGCCGCCGGCGATGGTACCCTCACGGAGCTCCATGTACTCGTCAAAGCCAGGCACAGTCTCGCTGAGGCGCATCTTCTGTTCGGTTGAGCAAGCATGAATGTAAATGGCAAGCTCATCGTACATGCGCTGGCGTTCATGGAGCGGTGCCTCCTCTGCATACCGCCGCCCAAAGTCGACCAGCACGGCGTTGATGGCGTCAACCTCACCTTCTGGAGCTGTTTCGGACAGATTCAACGCAGCTTTGGCGATTGCCAGCGTTCTCTCGCGCCACTGCTCGGCGCGGTCGAAATCTGCCGCCAGGTCGCCTTCGACTGTGTCGACGGTGTCATCCCAGCATACTACCCATATCACATACAACACCAGGGCTTCGAGACGCAGCTTGGGCGCACTAGTATACCATAGACATGGCAGCAAAGAAATATCATCGCGCAGACGGCGCTCAATCTGCAGATGGGGAGCGATGGCGGCGATCTTGAGGATGGTGTTGGTGGTGGGGGCGACGGTGTCTTGGTAGTGCTCGTTGAGGGTCTGAGGGGGCCAGGCTTGGAAAAGAGCTGTGAGGTTGGGGATGCGGAGGGTTTGGCCCTTGAGGGCGGCAATTATGGTAGTTTGCGAGGACATGATTGAGATTGAGGGGATTTGGAATGGTTGAAAGGTTGGAGGGGCAGATGAAAGAGAGGTTGAGATAGATACAGATGGTGGGGTGAGTTTGTGTGTCCTATGGGTACTTGCAAGTTGCTGTAGGTAAGCTTACGGCGCAAGTAAACCGCAGCTTGTTTTCTTTTATGCGAGCAGCCTATATGCTTACTATGAACTGATACGATATTATACGATAGAGAAAAAACAATAAGTAAAGGCTGTTTTTGTACTTGATGCCACGGAAAACGCCTAGCCGAGCTCGAAAGCTTAGAGTGAGAGCTGCACCTCACTTGCATACATGGACTGGCAGAGCTCCCACTTAGATCATCACCGTAACATCTAGTGGTGGAACTCATTCTGTATAAACCGCTAGACTGGTCTGGGTTGTTAGACAATAGAGCAAAGTTGTGGGGTCTCTCAACGACTTGGGAGATGTTAAAAATGCTGTGAAAGACGGGACAGGGGGCATGACGCATACTCACTGACAGCTCTCAAGTGCGGCTCGCATAGCACGGCCAGCTGCAGCATTTCAGCACCAGACTTGGTGGGCTCATTCCAAGGTCTCGGGGACGTTAAAAATGCTGTGAAGGCTTCTGACATCGTCTTATGGCGCTTGAAAAGCGCCTGTTTTCACAAATAAAGTGGAAGACGCTTCTTATTGGAAGGGATGGTCCGAGGCGAATACTATTACTGGCTGCCATATCGCAGAGCAAAAGATCCGCGTCTCAAACCATATTGCATAAGTGATAATGGCCAAATATTCAAGGTCAAGGTGCTCTAATCTAAAGAACTAATACTTTTATTATGCGAGGCCTTGCATTGGATTTTCTTTTGTACTTCATTGATAGCTCAGACCGATGACTCTCATCAACCCACGTGTATCCTGTATATAAATCCAATCACCAAAACGACCACCTTCGCTTCAATCCCCCCAGTCTTGGAATACACCGATCCCAACACCCATCGGCACTCCGGCTTCCGAATCTCCCCTATTCTACCATCTACCAGAAATATCCCATACCGGCAAAAAAAGTGCAGGCTAATTTCACCTTTCATCCACCAAACGGGCACCCATCCGCATCCTTTGAAACAATCAGCCGCAGCCCCATCACGCGATTGGCTGCGCGGCGCGTGGGGCGGGAGTTGAAACATCAGCAGGGATCACGTCAATCCTCCCGCTGACATTCTTTTCTTTCGCGTGGCATTCTCATCTTAGCTAGCTAGCTGCCATGTATGTCTAGAGAGACAGACGATCGGGCCGTCTGACTAGTTTCCTGTCTGCCTTCCAAATGCCGTATCATAAGCCGCTAATATAATATTATAGTCGCCAGTAGGTATTACCCAATAATCACAGACATGAATCAGCCACGGAGGGAAGAGAATGGTAAGGAAATGTCATCAGCGGATAATATGTGCAGATTTGTGACTGGTAAAGTATTCACATCGTAAATAAGAGAAAAATGGCAGAAAAAATGAAAAAGACGCCAATTTAAAAAGCATTTCCCATCCGTTATTCAACGCCACATCGTCTCCTGTTTCAGGTATATCAAGCAGCCAATCCAAGTACCTAGTAATGCTAATATTCTAGACCCCACACCGAAATCCCATCCATGTCAACAGAGTAGTAGAAGAGGAAGAAGAAGAAGAGAAGAAAAAAAAAAAAAAGGAAAAACAAGTCATCGCTCAAGCACTTTGCTCATGGCGGTACAAGCCTATGTCCGGACAATTTCGATATGTACAATGCCGCGTCAGCGGAGTTTTTGCTGTTTCGCATTATCGGCTTGGACATTATTAGATCCAGAGCGGGGCCGCAGCTGCAGGAGCTGGGTGACTAGGTTCCGTAAAGAAGAGGGAAGACAGGCCCTGAATCATGCTCAGATAGTCGTCGGGACGCAGCCTGACGAGGCCCTTGGAGCGGATGTACTCCAAGTCCTCGTCAGCTAGCTCCATCTGGGTCGCGGAGCTGTACTCTTCCGCAAGTTCCGTCAATTGACCCAATTCTGGTCCAAAAGGATTAGAGTTGGTTGCGTGGTGTTGCGCGGAGCTGGGAGGTTGCACAGGCAGGGGGGTCGGGGCTGCTTGAGCCGTGGGAGCCGTAGGAGTCTTAAGAGCCCTCGGGGCTGCGAAGGCTATGGGGGCGGTGGGGGCCGCAGGTGATGAAGGCTGTTTCAAAGATCGATTTGAGATGGATGAAGAGTGCGCTGAAGAGTGCGTCGATACGGACGGAGTTCGGGAGAAGGCCTGGAGACTCCGGGATGCGGCAGACAGATCTGAATCTCGAGAAATGCGGGATATGGATCGCGACCTGGCAACGGCGTCGACCGAGTTCTTCTTGGTATGCGTAGGAGAGCGCTGGGGAATCATCGGCGCACGCGCAGGCTCGGGCTCGACTGGGGCAGCAGGCTTGGTCGAATTCTTAAAGTAGCCTGAAAGGTGGTTCGGCTTGGGAGAAGGCGTACGCTCGCCTGTCGCAATGTCTGGGCTGGTTGGCGGCGTCGATTCGTTGGTTGCGAAGCTGTCGGAATCGTCGAGAGATTTGGCAGAGTTGGTTCGTAGAGGAGCAGTAGGAATAGCAGGCACAGCAGGCACAGCAGGGACGGCGGGGACAGCAGGAATAGCAGGACCGCCCTTGGGCAGATCGGGCGCGTTGTATGAGAGCATGTTGGTAGTATGAACCAGCTGGACGGGAGCCGAGATCTTGTGGCGGAGGGTATGCGAGCGCTGAGGGCCCTTGCCATCGCCGGAATCAGAGCCCAGCTTGAGCTTGCGCGTAGTAAAAGCTCGTGATAGAGACATGGTGGCGGTAGTCGTTTTGAGCTGGAAGAAACGAAATGGCCGGTTGACGTTGGAGGAACGAAGGAGAGGTTAAAAGTAGAAGACGTGGCAGAAGAGAAGGACGATTGGTGTCACTCTGTATGACAGACTGACTCTTGTGCGAGCAACCACCACAAGCGAATGAGGTGGTCAGTGAGGTGAGGGACAAGATGCCACAACCCGATCTGGAAGTTGACTGTGAAGCCGTGTGACCAGCGCTCACTATCGAAGACGGCTGGGCTGATGACGGAGGACACACACAAGCAAGCTGGGAAACGTTGCACAGGGTGCCTCTTGGTGGAGGTGAATCCAAGCTCAAGTCGGAAGGTGACTTGCGGGATTCAATGACAGATGAGCGCCGAATGGCCGAGCAGATCTGCGCTCAAACGGGCCAAGATGAAGATGGAAAAAACGTGTGAAAAAATGAAGAGAAAAATCGCAACTTGGTTCACGCCAGGTGATGATGTTGCGAGTTGGTTGTTTTGTTGGTTGGTTGCGGCAAGGGCAAAGTTTGCGACTGGAAACTGTCCGGCTACCTTGTTTTCACTCTTGTTGCGAGTGTGTCGATGTACTGTTTGTGTGAGATGCAGAGATTGATTGCTGTCACACAAACGATTAGATAGGGCGGAGTCCTGTCCTAGTTGGTCGCTTGTCTTGTTTTGAGATGCGAGCAAAGCTTTGTCCTTGGAGATGCCAAAAGCAGGGAGAGACGGGAACTCGTTGAATTTTTTTTTTTTTTTGGTGAGAGAGAGAAAGGAGAGTAAGTGAGACAAGATAACAAGCAACTAAGTGCCAGAAGTAACGAAACGATCAACGTTTTCAAGTTGAAGGAATCAAAGGCCGGGTTTTTTTTTGAGATTGCCGAATGTGATGTGTCGAGAAGACGTGCCTTGATGTTTGAAAGAAAGGAGAGAAAATTGGGCGGCAAAAACAGTGTCTGCGTCGGGCAGTATGGCGTATAACGTGAAGAGGGAGAGAGACGATAAACGACACGATACGGCACTGACGAAAGAAAAAGATGTCAAACAGCTGTAAATGCGCGCTCGTAGCAAGAGAAGCGAATAACGGCGGCCGGTGCTATTGGGAGACGCAACGCAACACAGCCCTTCTCGGCGACGGAGAGCAAAAAGAAGGTTGAAAGGCGGGACGAGGCGCGCGATGAGGAAGAGGCAGCAGAACAAGATATGGAGCAAGGCAAGGCAAGGCAGGGCCCCGGGCTACTGTACTGTACTGTCTGTTAGGCATTTCCCGCAGCAAACGAACCCATGATGCCTGCGCTTGTTCTTGTCCTCACATCTGCCGCATCCCTGCTGGCCCATTCCCCATTCACGCCGGCCTCACGCCAGGCCCGCCTGATTGGCCCAGCTGGCGACTCATCACCAGCTCGAGGCTTCAAACCCCTGGCTAAGGCTCAGGCCAGGCTCCGACCCATGCCCGTTCGGGAGGGTGCAGAATGAAAGGATGGTGCGAAAAAATGCAGGGAAGCGCCCTCTTGCATTTCGGCCAATGGTCATGAGCCAAGTTGTTGGCCACCATCACAGTGGCGGCCCTTTTTTTTTTTTCCTCTCTTTCTTTGTTGGTTGATGGAATGGCGATAGAAGCACCTGCTATTATCCGGTGGAGGGGAGGGGGACACTGTGTGGGTGGGTTGAGTGAGTGAATCGGGCTGCAGGTAACCAAAGTTGATCTCGCCTCCGGACGGAGAGACAGAATGATGAGGATGGAGCGTATAAGTGAGACGACAAGGATCGGATCGGGTCACCGAGTAGAGGATGCATGTGTACATCTACAAGCATTTGCTGCCTGCCTGCAGTCATGCCATCGATCGGATATGGTCGTACAACTAATACAACTAATACCAGTATATCAGATAACTAGGAGGTGCTCGGCCAACTTGAAAATCGCATTCATACCTACTCGTACCTAGCTACTAGATACTGTGCAGCTTCGACGGTGGCGCTTTGCTCACAGCAAAATCTTTTCCAAGAAATTTCTCCGGTTTTCTTTCTTCTCTCTTTGTCCGCGCATGAATGCTGCCAACTAGCGGAAACACGACTCAAGAGAGGTACCAACTGCTAGTGAACATACATGCACAAGTACATTCTGCACAGCGAATAAACAACCGGCAAAACACCTCCGTGATGCGTCTTGCTCTATCCATTCACCTG